CTGGATTTAGAAACCCCAGTGCACTGAACTTCTGGTAGCGCTGGATTCACAAACCCTAGTGTAGAATAGTATGACAGTCTCCAACTGGGTTTAGTGGGAAATCAGACTGCATTTGGAGGGCCCCCCCCACCCCCCATATGTTCAAAGGATGGTTTGCTAATGTCTATAAATTCACCATCCCCAGACCATATACGCAATTTCGAAGGGGAACATCTATACTTGTTTTTGGTTGTTTCGAGGGGAGAGCTGCTCGAGGCACCCATTTGGGTTCCCGAATGAGTAAACTTTGGGGACTTGCGAAGTGAGCACGTGAGTAATCTGGCTGTGGTTGTCAAAACCAATGGGATCCCATTTTGGTTGGTAGGTGAATTCACCACCCATTTTAGGACCCATTTTAGTGGGGATTGGGATGTTCACCGGGGGTACGGGCTTTGACCCATAGCCATCTAGGTTGCAGCCTTCCCTGAATTCGTGGAGCTGGATCTCGGTTTCGTCTCCAAACGAAAAACGAAGCCCTGGTGGCCGCACGGAAGAGTGTCAGGTCCAATAGCCTTTGAGTTTCTCATTGCCTTGTGCTTGGTAGTTACTCCCCTGCAAATTCACGGCATGGAACCCAAAAGGGGGTCCCATCCCCCCAAAAATAAGTTTCCGATGCTAGAAATGAGTGGGCTTTGCGGGGTTCATTCCGTTGAGCAATCTTGGCGCCTTGGAGAACCAGCCAGGAGATTGGCTTCGGATTGCATGTTTGGATTCCACACCATACTCGTCTGATGACTACCTCTCGAATGAATACCGATTCCCTAAAAGGAAGGGGTGACTTGGTTCTGTGGATTCTGAAGACGTTGGTGACCGGCAGGGCTTGCGACCTATGAATCCAGCAGTGGAAATTGGCCGAATGGGAACCCCAGAAGCAGAGCTTTCTTGGGGTGTTTGGAAAGATCGGGGCATGTGGGTATGGGTCAAAGTTAAACCACCAGGATATGGACCGCAGGTTTAGTCCTTCTTTCCGTTTGCCAGGGCAAGTCAATTGGGGTACCTATTTTTGAGCCACAGCCATGTGTGCTCTTATGCGGGTTCCACGTCCGGGCATTGGTGAATCTCTGGCTTGGCCGAACACCCAAGCACTCTTTTGCAAGCGAGGGGTTGCGATCTCCGCAACCTTGGGACATTTGGGTAAGTGAAGAGGACAATCCCAGCTGGAAATGTAAGAGGGAACCTGAACTCAAGTGGTTGGGACTGGGGGGGGCATGAAGGTCGACCGAATTCTGTCCACCAAATGGTCCCCCTTTCAGAGTTCACACCCACGGCAGACCACTTTCTTCCATTTGCTTAAGTATATGTTATATGTTTCCTTGTTTTTTTTTTTCACAGGGAATCTATCATTCTTGGATATGTTTTTTCTTGTTCTTTTCGCAGGTGGCTTAAGCAAGTGGAAGCTTGCCAGGTTGTGACCCAACTGCTGCTTTTGGCTTGTTCTTTTTCCGGGGACACTGCCAGACACCCCGATTCCGAAGGAGGGGGAGCAACCTCGCTTTGCATCGGCGAGGTTAGTAAGTTAGCAGCATGCGCAGGCAGTATGGCGCTTTGGCGCTTTGCACGTGTTTGGATGCGTGGTTGGACCATGGTTGTGGACATTCTGGGTTTATGCCGGCACTTTCTGCGAGCTTTCAAGTCACAGGATGGAAATCCTAAGTGAGCCACAAGCAAAACCCGGGTAAGTGAAGGTTAGTACGGGACATCCCAGCCATAAATGGGTGCAGCCGCCTTTTGAATTCTTTACATGTTTCTGTGTAGACCATTTTAATACCAGGTTTTTACTATGACCCAAGTGGCATCACCTGGAATGATTTCCACAACCATGCATGTGACCATGTGTCACCCTTTGCATAACATGCGCACTCGGCACGACACTCGCCGACCGCATATAGAGAATTGGCCGATCAAACTCTATGTATCAGTTTTCGATGTCGGATTCTCGGGCAAAAGCAGGGTGTGTTTCCTCAACTCTTTCGAGGGTGTTCAAAGGAACGCACCCTGCCCCATTGTGCTACCAGTCAAATTGTTTGTTCCCCGGGAACAACAGGAAACCAACTTTTGTCTAGGTTGGTCTCCTACGTTTAAAGACCGATTTTGGATCGGCCGCCTTATGCACGCGGACACGGCCCTGTCCTTGAAATGGGTCTCGTGTGTTGAGGGCAACCTGTTTGGAGTCGTTTCAAAGCAGGGTTGTGGGATCCAGGGGTTTCTCCCCACTTCTGTGATACAAGGGAATCCCCCTTTATAAGAACAACAGAGTCTTTGGGAATCCCTTCTGTTGTATCACAGAAGTGGATTCCATTCCCCACAACCCTGTTTCAAAGCGAAACACAACCAAACCGCAAGTGGTGGGGGCCCCGTTTTTTGGTCACACGCAGAGTTCAAAAATTTTGCCGAGCCCCTCCAAGACTCTAAGAGCCTGGCACTTGATTGAGCCTCTCCTCGGGTTCCAAGGAGATTTCCTTCGAGGCATCAAAACGGCGCTGGGTTTTGTGAGTTTCCTTTTCTTCCATTTGTTTGTTTTTTTCCCCCCCCCCCTGTTGGTTTTAAAGGGAATCTATCACTACTGGACATTTTTTTTTTTGCAGGGGGCTTGTTTGGGAATCTGTTTGATGTTGGGAATCTCAGGATCCCGAGATCGGATTGCCTTCTCCGCTCGCCGCTCCGATCAGCATTAAGGAATATGCAGTGGGAGCCACCGGAGGAGACAAGTGCAAACACTGAAGCGGGGCCGCCGACGACAGGGTTCCATTTTTTGACCACCCCAGGCTAGACTTAAACCCAAGGCTGGTTCATTCCCCCCAAAAGGAGAACCTCTGGGTTTAAAGTCCATCTTGGGTAGTCAGAAAGTGGAACCCTGGCCGACGAATATCTGTGAGCATGTCCCCGGAGTATGATGGCAGAAAAGTGTGCCCGTACTGCTCAGCGAGTCTGAGGGGGATCAGGCTCCCATGACTAAGGGATTCCTGAAATAAGCAAGTGTTCGGAGATGCTGAGCAGTCTCTATCACACGGGCTCTAGCTTGCACCAAAGCACAATCGTGTGTGTAGCTTCCTAGAACCCATGTGCTCAAACCCATGTCACCCATGTTCTTTTTTCCCAAACACATACGTAGGTTCGAACTCGCATTCCTATCAATCGAAATTTTGGACCCCCCCTCATATCTCCCCGACTCATGGGTACAGGATTTTCTCAAAATCGGGGATCCCATAGAATGGGGGTCGTTTTCTTTCCTTTCAACCCAACAAAGGGAACCGAGCCTCATTTACTTGCATAAGGTACCCAATTGGAATCATGCACCCTTCAAAGGCGAAAAGACAATGGCTGGTTGCCTTTACTGGCCGTCCGAATTCCAGAACCTGCCTTTCCAGACTCTGAATTTGGGAGGACTAGGTATTGCCCTGAAAATTCCCTTGAGTCCACTCCCTTTTAAGAAGGTTATAGCCATGGCTATAGAAATTGGCTGGTTCCCGTTGCAACCAACTGGCTGGGTTGTGCATCCGGGAAGTAACACGGCCCTGGTTTCCTACCGCGAGAGGTTTGAAATTTGGAGGGCCAACTTGGTGTCTCAAAATACTGCGGATGGACGAAATCCTGCACCACCTAAGAATCCCTGGAAGGATGATTCCCCTGTAAATACCAATAAACGTTATGGTTTCAACCATGGTCTCAAAGTGGTGCGGGATGGATTTCATCCATCCACAGGGGAGCCCCAGAAAAGTCTCCGGCGTCCGATTTGGTCGAGTTCCTTCAAAGAATGACAGAGCCAAGGAAGGGAAGCCCCTCTGAATCAGAGGCGGTCTGAACCGGGCTCCGAAAAAAAGATATATCTCCACTTTGCGTAGCCATTTGTGTAACCATGTGGCTTTTTCCACACCAAAATAAAGTTGGAAACCACCAAATAGACAAGTTGCAATGCTCAGGTGTATAATGTATCCGGATCCCTGCTGAATTAGAGGGGTTCTACGCTTCAACTGGTACTTGACTTTTTTCCCCGAAATTCGGCGAGCCGAACCCGCTAGGCTTCTTGTCTTCGGCTCCAGGGAATATTTTTTTCTAGGGTTCCGATTCGCCCCCCATCAAAATATTGACAAGGACTTTGGATGATGAAACTCCTCAGGTAAAAATAGTGTGTTTTTTGTTTTTGTTTTTTTTTTGTTTGTTTTGTTTTGTTTTGTTTTTTTTGCCCCCTTTGTTTTAATGGTGGTTTGAAGCCCAGGGTTTTGTTTGGGGATCTTTCCTTGGACTTCCCCGCTTAAGGTTGCAACCATGGTTACAGCTGGTTGGTAGCTGGTCGGCAATCTGGGTCTTTCTCATTTCTCCTTATGCCCATTTTACCCCCTACTCCAAATACCCGTCTTTTTTTCTTCTTCAGTTGGTATTTTTGGGAAAACCGATCGGCTTTCCAAGGTAAATACCTCCTTTTTAGCAGCGTGTCAACATTTGGAGTAGGGGGTACACTTTAAGGTTGACTCGATATGGAATGTAACCTGAAACAGGATCTGTTAGGATCTGTGCAGAATCTGAACAAATATGACAAAGAATCTGACAATGCCACGTTCCTTGTTGATACGGTATATTTCAAGGTTGACTTGACACCGGTTTGTCTCAAACCGGAATCCCACATTGAGTGGGTGCCTCTGGGTTTCCCTTTAAAACCAACGTGAATTTTGAGCCACATCCTGCACTGCCTAAGAAACCCGGAATGATGATTCCCTGGATAATACATTGGATGGATGATGCTTCCCCTGTAAATACCAACAACAAGGTTCAACCACGGTGTCTTAGGTAGTGCGAAACGGATTTCGCAACCATCCCTGGAGTCTCCACGACCCTTTAAAAATGGGGTCATTACCCAACATTCAGGGGGTATTACCCCTTTTTCTAGGTCACGGAGACTCTAGGTCCACAGCACCAACAAACGTGATGGTTTCCTTCCCATGGTTTCTGATTTCTCTGCCGAGGTGGTCTCGGGATTGGCCAGGCCGGGTCTGGAAGGAAGCGCCGAAACGCCGGGTTTGGAAGGTTTGGCAAGCTGGGAGCTGCTGCGGGTTTGGCTCGCCGGGCTACGTGTGTTCCAGAGAGAGATCCAGCCGTTTTCCTTATGGTTTTTAACGCGGGCACGCCGTTACCATTGGTTCACTGCAAAAGCCCTGTGGTGGGCAAACTAGCTGGAGTCTCCTTCTGACCCGAAATAAAAATGGGTCCATGACCCCTTTATTTTGGGTACTGACCCCATTTTTAAAGGGTCATGGAGACGCCAGGTAGCAAACTTGTCCTCTCGTTTCTTTCTCTTTTCTTTAACACAGGGGTGGCAAGCCCAAGCACAGCCTTTGGTTGCCCACACAAAATGGAGTCATTGGGCAAGGCTCCAGCGTTTTCTCTCAAATTGGGATGCCTTTAAAACTAAAACAGGGGGCTGAGGAAATGGCAGAAAGGCCTGAGCGAGCCGGGAAGGTCCAGGGTGCAACCCATCTGTGAATCGGATTTGGTCCAAGGTTCCCCAGTGCCCTTTCTCACCCCTTTTTGGGGGGAAGGTTCCCGGTTCCCCTACTAAAATAGACTACCCTTGTTCTAGGCTCTCTCTGCTGGAGGACCATTCTGTACTCGAGTGCTGGGGCTTGATTTTAACCACTTAAACCAACCATCGTTCTGTCCCGGGTCCAAGTACCAACCAGATTTGAGGTCCAAGGGGTTTGGTTCAAGGGGATTTACTGTGGATGGACGAAATCCTGCACCACCTAAGAAACCCTAGAATAATATGACCCCCTGTAAATACCAACAAACAATGGTTTCCCATGGTGTCTTGGGTGGTGCCAAATGGATGACGTCCATCCACAGTATCATTTGCAGATTCCTCAAATCCGCAAATATAAGGTACTTGGACCCTTTGGGTGTTCAAAACGGATCGCGCAAAGTCCAGCCTGGGAGTTTGAAAACCGGTTCTGAAAAGATTCGTTTGATCCCTCTGCTCAGAATGGGGGAAGCTTCCCCTACCTTCCATTGGCGTTTCAGAATATGTGTTATTTTCCCCCATGGCTTTAAATGGAATCGATTTCACGACTGGACATATTTTTGTACTTTTTCCAGGGGGCTCGACTCTCCGACAAGAACAAAAACTCTGGTTTTGAAAGGGCTACACGTTTTGGTGGTGGGGGCTTAGCAACTGGAAGGAGCAGTACCTGGAGTCTTCATGACCCTTCAAAAATGGGTCCATGACCCCTTTAATTTGGGCAATGACTCCATTTTTCAAGGGTCGTGCAGACTCCAGGTACCTCTTTCTGCCCTGCCCAGGACTAGAGAGTTCCGTGGTGGCGCTGAACTCAAGGAACTCTCCAAGAGCTCCGCTCGAGCGTCAGCCCGTTTTCAGCCCTCGGCGAAGTTTTTCGGTCCATGGTCCTTTGGTTTCCTTCTTTTTTCGGTTGAGCCCCCCAAGAGGGTTGTTCTTTTTTTTCCGTTTTGAGGGTGCCATGTGGCATGTTCTTTTTGTTTTTTTCAGGCTTCTCGCTGACCCAAAGCGAATCCATCCAACTCTCGACCTTGTGGTTTCCCCCTTTTCGGTCCATATTTTGGGCTTAAAAACGCCCGAACATGTTCAGGTCAACTGAGGGCAACCGAGGCATGGGGCCAGTCAAACAAGAAATCGTTCCCATTCAACGGGTCACAGAGAGCTTGAAAACCGGGTTTCAGTTTCAAACAAGTCGACTTTTCTTTCGGAGATGGATCCCTTGGGGCTGAGACGTTGCATGGAGCCTATGGCTGTGGCTCAAAACTGGAAAAGTCCCACATGGAACCCTGGTAAATGGACACATGCACTAAAACCTGTGGATCCCCTGGTGGTTTAATTTGACCCATACCCATATGAACAAAGCAGTGAGGATGGCCGCCTTGTGCAATGGTGCCCCGGAGAATCACAAATCCCGGGTAGGCCCCCAAAGGCATAAAGTAGGTCCCACAGCTAGGTGCCCTTTCTCACCGTTTCTTTTTTTGGGGGAGGGTTCCCCTACTAAAATTGACTACAGAAACAAGGGTACCCTTATTCTAACCTCTCTACTGGAGGACCTAGTATACGAGCTCACCAGCCGTATTCGTTTTTGTTTCGGGTGGTTCCCTTGGTTAGTGGACTCACAAGCAAAACTGGATGCACTGGGTAGTTTACTTCCCCTGCATACACGTAATGAATGGATCAACAGGGCAATTGAAATGAAACCAGACAGAGAACACTTTTTTTTGGGGGGGGGTCCAAATACCAACAAACCTTGTCTTGTGGTTTCAACCATGTCTTCTTAGGTGGTGCGAGAAGCGGATTTCGTCCATCCACAGTAGCGTTGGCCAAGTTGTTTTCCTTTTTGTTACCCGACAAGGGCCATCAACCCCCACTTATGTTTTTTCCAGGGCGGATTTCCATGGTTTTTTTTGGAGGTATGGATGCTTACCCCCTACTCCAAATACCCGTTTTTTTCAGCCTATTTTTGGGAGAACCGATCGGCTTTCCAACGTAAATACCTCCTTTTTTAGTAGAGGGTCAACATCATACCCTGAAGGCGGGTATTTCGAGTAGGGGGTACCACCAAGAAACAGGGTTCACTTTCCACCCAACATGGACTTTAAACCCTGAGGTTCTCCTTTCTTTTGGGGGGAATCAACCAGCCCTGGGTTTAAGTCTACCCTGGGGTGGTCAAAAAGTGGAACCCTGCCAAGAAATGCCCTTTGTCTCAGACCCGCACGAGTTCGAATCGAGCGGTTTAGGCGGTGGCGGCGGGGGGATCCAACTCCTACCTGCTGACCGACACCGGTGAGGCGGTTTCTTCGGGCATGGCCCAGGGCAAAGGCGAAGGCATCTAGGTGCCCCAGCTAGGTGCCCTTTCTCACCGTTTCCTTTTTGGGGGAGGGTTCCCGAACTAAAATAGACTACAGAAAAAAGGGTGCCCTTATTCTAACCCCTCTACTGGAGGACCCAGGCATGCGCATTGAGATGTTGAAATGACCACATCACTGTTGTTGGCACGTTGTTGGGTATTTGTTGTTTGATCTTTTTGTTTTTTTAGTGAGGGGGGGGGGTGCAAAAAGCAACGAGTTGTTTTTTGCCTAGCCTTGTTTTTTGCTACCATACCAAGGGTTGGAAAGACGACCAAAGGGCTCCCTTTCGAAATGTTTGCACCCAAATCCTTTCTGCACAGGAATCAGGACAAGTCAATACCCTTTCTGGTCCGGGCGATCAAACGTGGAATACAGCTGAGGTAGTTTCCCTCTTGACTGTCTTTGTCGTCAAAGTATCCTGTTTATGGTCCATTGGGTTTGTCTGAAAGGGATTGAACCCCCAAGAAGTGATTTCGGTTTGCCTTATGGTTTCAATCTAAAAACCAACCTGAAAAGGATGCCGAGCCAAAACAAACGGAAATGCCATGTGGTGAAAAGACCTGCCCTGTTTGGGGATGGTGATGAGCCCTTCAGTAGGCAACCCTTGTAAAGGGTACTATCATGACCCTACCATGGCACGTATAGGTGCTTGTTTCGTTTCTTTTCGTTGTCAGATGTGTCGGTTTTTGTTTTGGCGCTTCATTTTTAGAGTTCGCGGATTTTTTTTGGGGCTTTTTGGGCTCTGTTCATGTTGTTCCATGTTAGTTTGTGTGGTGTTTTGCCTTTTTAGGCCTGGGAGCCAGGTCGTTCTTCTTTTAAACGCAGGCCCCAGATCAGGCTTTAAGGTGAACGAGCCGGGTCCGTGCGACCGGGGGACTTTTTCGGTTGGCTCCAGTCTCCAAAGTCAAGTCTTTAGTGCCTCAACCCCCCAAAAGGGTTGGGTGTTTTTCTGTTTTGAGGGTGCCATGTGCCCTGTCCTTTTCGTTTCTCTGCTTTTGTTTTCAAAGAGAGACCAAGAGGAACACCTGCACTTCTCACTTGCCCAAAGCGAATCGACCGGATCTGAGCTTGAGGGTTATCCAATTCCGGTTCTGTTTGTTTTGGCTCCAAAAGGTTGGCCTTTTATTTGTGGATCCAAACCAGGCAACTGAGTATTAGTATTCCATGCTTCTGGGATATGGGGTGTCAAAATAGCCGCACCCCCTCACGCGTGAAGCATGGCGTTTCTTGGCGAAGAGCCAAAAGCGGCGGCTTTTGGAGGAACGCGATCTTCGCGATTTGTATCTGGAGGGCGCAGTCTGGAAATGCCGGCGCTGCAATACTGTGGATGGACGAAATCCTGCATCACCGCGATGGTTCCCCTGTAAATACCCACAAACCTGTGGTTTCAACCATAGTTTCTTAGGTGGTGCGAAATGGATCTCGTCCATCCACAGTATGTCCGCTAGAAAGAATGCATAGTACAAACCACCGGAGAGGGATCGAAGATTCTGCCTCGAAGCGCATTTCTTTGGGAGGAAGAAGGTGGCAAGTCGTTTTTTGTGAGCACTCAGACTGCCCTGCAAGCAGTGTGAGTTTGAACATTTTGCGCCTTGCAGTCAAGCACCTAGATAGCCAAGTGGCCGCTTTTTCAGTCACCGTTGCTTGGTTTGTGGGGTAAAGTGCATGGAGAAAAGCGATCGCAACTGTCGATCCAGGCACAAGCTTTTCACTGGCGAGCTTGCTTTTGATGGCACTAACGGAAAGGCCCAAGCTGCCAGGAGACAATACTGTGGATGGACGAAATCCTGCACCACTTTGAAACCATGGTTGAAACCATAAGTTGTTGGTATTTACAGGAGAATCATCCTTCCAGGGTTTCTTAGGTGGTGCGAAATGGATTTTGTCCATCCACAGTAGCTCTGGGTGAATTATAACGACCTCACACGACCAAATTCACCCCAAATGGTGGTTTATGTGCGGAATGGCTACCCAACCGCCTTATTTCAGGCCGGTGAAATATTATAAATCACTCAGATAGCTCGAATTGCGGACTTGCGCTTGCCAACCTTTTTTCGACTTCGATCAAGCTTCCGCCATGGCCCAGGAATTTTTGCGAACTAGAAAGCAGGAGTTGCAGGGAGGACGTTCCACAATTTTCCAAGGCGAACGAGATGTGGTTAAGGCTCTAAGCAAGTTTGGAGCTGTCAGTGTTTTCAGAGCCCAATTCAGTGAATTTGCTGGTGCTCTGTAGGGAATTAGAAATGGAATGAACCCGGGGATTCCCGTCCCTTAAAGGAAACCACCAGTTGGATGGTTTGTAGGTGTCATTCCAAATCTCATTCCCTGCCTATCGCACCAGAAAGTAAACGGGATTTGCCGGAAAGGATCGTCAAGGAACACATCCGTTGGCTTTCCACCTAGAGTCTCCATGACCCTTAAACATGGGGTCATTACCAAAAAAATAAGGAGTCATGGACTCATTTTTTAAGGGTCATGGAGACTCTAGGCAGTTTGACACGGGTTCCATGATGGCCACGGATTCTTGTACGCATCCGCCGCTAGGCTCTGGCGCTAACTCTTTATGAATCTGAAAACTGCTTTTTCGGTACCTAGCCGAAGTCTATGCTCTTCTTCTTTCTTTTTCTTTTGTTTTTTTTTTTGGGGGGGGAGTTTTTGTGTTTTGCTCCTTTAAACCACCATTTCCACCCTTCGTCGCCTTACTGTTTGCGGAGTTAAAAAGTGAGTCAAGTCCCACCCACTCCGCTCGTCCCAATCCGCCGGGTCGGACCTTGGACCGTTCGACTCGGCTTCGGACCTCGGGGGTCATCGGAGAAATGGGTGTGGCTCAAAAACAAATTCAGGGGGGGTTACGCGGGTTTTAGTCTTTGGTTCCATTTACCAGGGTTCCATTTTGGCTACCCATTCATAAACAGCCCCCCCTGTGTTGCTTTTGTTGGGTTCTTGTGTTTGGTTCTCGTTGGGAATGAGGAAATGATCCTGAACTGACCCATCTTTGGGTAAGTTCCATGTTGAGGTCCCATATGGCTGTGGCTCAAAATGAAACAGGGGTTACGCAAACCGCAGGTGTTAAACTCCATGTTTCCCACTTACCGATCGGGCCACCCATTTTGGACTTCCGGTTGTTTGAGCCCAATGGGAGAGGTCTTCATGCTGGGCCAGCTGCGGTCCCTGGGAGCCGAGCCGAAGCTGCAGCACCTCTTCGGCCCCTTGAAATTGAAGCAGAGCCCTCCGAATGTGGACACAGTAATCAACCCCTGGTGGATGAATTTTCGGCTGGTGGATGTGTTTTCTTTGGCTGGTGGAGGTTTTTTTTTGGCTGGTGGAGGTTTTGTTTTCGGCTGGTGGATGACTTTTTGGCTGGTGGATGATTTTTTGGCTGGTTGATTAATTTTTGTTTGGTTGATTCATATTTTGTTGATGACTTTGTGGTTGGTTGGTGAACTTTTGGTTGATTAATTTTTGAATGATGATTTTTTGGCTGGTTGATGTTTTTTTGGCTGAACGATGAAGTGTTACTTGATGAATGTTTGGTTGGTTGATCATTTTTTGGTTGGTTGATGATTTTTTGGTTGGTTGATTCATTTTTGGTTGATGAATTGTTGGTTGGTTGTTTCATTTTTGATTGATGATCTTTTGGTTGGTTGTTACATGTTTGGTTGGTTGATTCATTTTTGATCGATTAATTTTTGGTTGATCGAATCATTTTTGGTTGGTTGATTTTTTTTGGGTTGGTGGATGATTTTTTGGTTGGTTGATTAACTTTTGGTTGGTTGTTTAATTTTTGATTGCAGCAGACGCGTAATTTGTGCCCCCCAGAGGAATACAGTTCTGCTTGATTAATGGTCGGCCTGGTGGTTGGTTGGCTGGTTGCTTGGCTGGCTGGCTGGTTGGTTGGTTGGTTGGTTGCTTGCCTGGCTGGCTGGCTGGCTGGTTGGTTGGTTGGTTGGCTGGCTGGTTGGTTGGCTGGTTGGTTGGTTCCCTGATCATGCTTACAGTCTAGTAATCTAGGGTCTTTAACAGACAGTTACATTTTGGGGTACACCAAATGCGAAACAGAATCTGAACATTTTTGGTTTGTCGTGGCTCGAGACTCTGTTTTGTGGCCACCCCCCGCATAACGGCGGTGATCCATTTATTTTCCTCTTAAAAACCAACCATAAACGAATTTTCAAGAGTCATGCAAGGCCATCAATAAGATTCTGAGTACCTAAGCAGCCTAAGAACATGGGCGCATTCGAGCGCGCCGCCCGCCAAAACCCACCCTGACAATTCCATTTGAATGCAATTTGTTAAGGGTAGTTTCAGGGCGAGTGGTTTTGGAGGTAGGGCGTTCATATACCCCTTATATAAGTACATACCCAACAAGCTTATCTTGGTGGTGTAGAAGGAATCCATACCTCCAAAAGCTCTCTACCCTGAAAATGCCCTTGAATTTGAACAACACTCAGACCAACAGCCGGAAGCTCCCCAATTCATTTGGCCGATCCCATAAATGGATCACCAACTTCCATTTGCTTGGGACTATTTTTTATTTTCCCTGGTTGGTTTTAAAAGGAATTTATCACTACTGGACATATTTTCTCATTTTTTCCCAAGAGTCTTCACCAAATGGAGGTTAAAGGATGGGTGGTTTTAGGAGTTGACACCTGGAACTCCGCGGACCCAACAATCGTCGACCCGCAGGCCCTGGAGTCAAGCTGGGAGCTTCGGCATTGGAGGGAATTCTCCCCGAGTTTGCTTCACCCGCTCGATTGAAGCAGGGCTCCTTAAAAGATGTCGCCATTCTGCAACCGTTTAAAACATGGTTTTTTCACCAAAATAAAGGGACATGTTTTTTGCAACCAGTTGAAACATCACTTCTTTTTTCACCCAAATGAAGTTTGAAACCACCAAATAGACAAGTTGCAATGTTCAGGTGTATAATGTATCCGGATCCCTGTGAAGCCTTCTGGCGGGGTAGGCTGGCACGGTGGCAGGGTGGCAAACGTCGCCGCAGGTTGAGCTTTCGCAGATGGGGCCCAGCGTGGGATTGGATGTTTTCTTCTGGGTGGTTTCTCTTCAACCGGGATGCATATCTCATTTTTGTAGGTGTTGGAACTATGGGAGAAATGCAGATGCTCGACGTTTTTCAAGTTTTCATGAAACGAACTCACGGGGCGGCTCACCTTTGAATTTTGTTTCAACGAACTCGGGCCGATGCGAGTTGAGTCGAGATTCGATTCGAGGCTGTCCACGCCGCAGCTGCGAGCTCAGAGTTCGGTGTTTTTTGGCGGCTCGTCAAGTCTCGGCGTTGTGTTGTTTATCTCCAACACGATAAATCCATTTCGCACCACCTAAGAAACCATGGATGACACCATCCTGGACCTTCATTCGTTACATAAATTTGTGTCCTTGGGTGTTTCGTAGCAAACATGTTTGCTAGTCGGGCATTTTATTCGGGGGAACGGGCGAAATTTTGGATTCGAGCATTTTTGGCTACTGCTGCGGCTTCTCTCTTCTGATATCGTCTGTTGCGTGGAACCATGTGAAACATACCCGCAAAACGGGTGCAAATACCCACAAAAAGAGCGCAAATACCCGCAAAACGAGCGCAAATCCAAAACATGTAACACTTGGTATTTTGCAGAAAGCCCGTGTTCTTGGGGAACGAGCACTTTTTTGATCATCGGGCGAGAATAGTTGCCCCGAGCATTTTTCTTTCGTAACACAAATTTATGTAACAATGGAAGGTCTAGGATTGCTTGATTTTATTTTCGTAGGGGAATCGAATCATTTTACGGGCTTCTTCCTGTGCTGGCCGCTACTTTGAGGATTTCCCAAAGGAGCTTTGCAATGAAGAACGGTATACGAGGCAACGCCTCTTCTAAGCAGACTTAGATGGATAGAGCAATTATAGACAGTTACTTAGTTAGATAGATAGAGAGAGAGAGAGAGCGAGAGATTAGAAAGAGATGAGATAGATAGATAGACAGATTGGACCACAGGATGGATAAATGGGTAGATAGATAGGCAGATATTCGAGAACAGGTTAGATCGATTAGACATATATATGCACATAAAAGGAGAGATATAGATTGATAGATAGAAATACCTATGGAAAGAAACAGAGGACAGAACAAAACAAAGATTCAAAGACAGAACGAAAGAAAGACAGATAGAAAGAAAGAAACAAATACAGAAAGAAAGAACGAAAGAAAAGCAGACAGAAGACGTAGCACCTGTGGGAGGGAACCTGGAAGGTCAATGTCCCTCTGTCAGGTGCCATGTTTGTGGGAGGGAGGGCAATGGTGTAAACCCCAAATAGTGTAAACCTCAAATAGCATGTTTGTGGAAATGAGGGTTTCTTCCCCACGAATGCGCCGTTGGGACCCATTGACATTGACATCCGCTGGGACCCAGCCCGTTTCAGGTTGCTTCGGGTTCCGGCTCCCAGGTTACTTCGAAAGCCTCCAAAGAGGGGTGACCTTCAAGGTCACCCCTCTTTTGAGTCTTTCTATCTGGGGTTGGTTCCAAACAACTGACTCACTTGGCTGACCCACCTACAAAACCCCCCGCCCCCCGGTTCCCCCCCCCCCCCCCCCGCGTCCTTACCGGGAAACCGAGTCGCCGCGGAACCGACTCGAGCCCACGCGCCGAGCCGCGAAGCGAGCGCCGACGCGAGCCGAGCGGACGCGAGCGGATCGAAGGCCTGGAGCTGCAGGTGGAGAAGGTGGCCGCGGGATGGCGGCACTGCCTCATCCTCACCAAGGCGACCTGGACTGCTAGTGGGCAACGGATCTTTAGACTTATAGTTTCTTGTTAAATAAAAAGGTTTGTTTTCTTTTCCACTAAACCCGCCAAAAAGTTGAACTTACTTTTTGCGGGGGGGTCAGCAGCAACCAAGGCGACGCATGCGGCGCGGCTTTGACTGTCGCGGCTTTTGGTTTGGCGCGGCTTGGGGTTTTGTGGGTCGGTTGGGCCCCGCAAAAATTGGCGCGGGTTTCGGGGTTGGTCGGTTTCCGTCCCGACTTTCGGCGTTTTCTTGCGATGGATTCTCGAGAGGCAACAGATGGATTGACCCTGAGATGAATTGTTTGACGGGTGGGTTCCTTTGAGGCGACCCCTGGGATTTTTTAGAGCACCAGCAAGTTGTTTTTGGGGAGACGAGGGGGAAGGATGTTGAGCCGGAGCTCGCGATCACCGGGACAGCCCACCACTTTGACGATTTGAAAGTATGTGTTCTGTGGTTCAATGACGAAATGGTTAAACTGCAGTTCAAAAGTGTCAGGGCAAGGAGCTACAGGACCAGTTGCCCTATGGGTGAGGCGTTGCAATCTCGAAGTGCCAGCACTTTGCAGAAGCAAACTATGGTAGTTCGACTCTTTGAGGACGTTCTATCCTGGTGTAGGTCGGTGCTTTCAAGAAATGGTTGATGAATATTCCTTGCCCCAAAATGACCAAGGGTAACTGTATGTAATCTTTCCTCAATGATTACCCCATGTAAAGGAACTTTTGATTAACCCCCATGCTTCGTTTTATTTGTTTAAGCGTAGATGAGTTGGATGTCCGGTTCCCCAGAAAAACGAGCCGCTCTCATCAAATGGTGGTTTTCCTTGTGGTTTTAAACCAAGGTGAAAACTTGATTGGTATTGGGTTGGATCTTTAGACTTTGACTTTTTGGGAAATCAAGTTGGGCTTTCCATGAAACCCACAAAAAGTGGTTCACTTCTTGCAGAGGGGTCAACAGCAGCCAAGAAAAGGGTACCCTTAAACGAACACGCCGCACTTGAAAGAAGGGGGGCTGATTTCTGGAGATCTTCAGTCGTTCCGAATTTTCCCCTTTTGTGGGTTAGAATTGGGGCCCCAGTCCTAAGGTACCGTTGGCCCAGGATTAATATGCCCCTGGTTGATGAATCTGGGGGTGTCCCTGGTTTTAGTGGGGGTTCATCACTTTTGAAGTGGAACGCCTCCCCATATTATTAAGGGGTGTATTCATCCGGGGTGAACATTTGGGTGGATACTACCAACAGCCAGCCGCTCAAACGGTGAGTGGGAAGAAGTCGGAAAGGACAAAAACGCAATAATAATAATAATAATAATAATAATAATAATAATAATAATTAATAATAATAATAATAATAATAATAATAATAATAATAATAATAATAATAATAATAATAATAATAATAATAATAATAATAATAATAATACCACATATATATATATATATATATTTAAATCCATCACCGACCCACATAATCATGCAAAAAGCATGTTACATATACCTGGAGTCTCCATGACCCTTTAAAAATGGTGGTCATTACCCAAAATAAAGGGGTCATGGACCCTTTTTTCAAGGGTCAGAAGGAGACTCCAGATATAAGCGGCTCCCCGATGGCCCCCCGTTCTGCCATGCGTGCCATGCGTCACATTCGTCAGGCAGGCACAGTGTTTGCCATCGGAGAGGACGAGCACGGGCAGTGCGCTGGCAACGGGACCGGGCAGGCGCGATTTTTGGAAAGGGGGACTCAAAATTCTCGAGGGATGCTCCTGCCCAAGAGTTGGGGGGTGTCATTTTTTCGGTGGCTCGTCATTTTTTGAATTGCTATCCCATAAAATGACGTTCAGGGAAACCACCAGGAAAGCCATTTTGGTGAGGGCGCCCCTTTCTGGGATGGTTTGGACCCCTCAAAATGATGGCTTTTCCATTTGGCTTCCCCTTAAAACCAACCAACAGGAGGTTTCCTTGAAAAAGACAAACTACTCCAGTTGATTCCTTTTCCATTCTTTTCAACCATCGTTCTTTTCCCAAACACCGGATCCGTTTTCTTTGGGTTTCCGGAGGTTTTCTGGAAAGAAGGATCCCTGGAAAGAAAGGGGTAGGTACCAATAGATTAAAATGGGTTTCCCGTTGCTTCTTGAGGCTGTTGCGCGGACACCCAAAATGTTGTTTTTTCTAGTGGGCCCCCAACATTAAAATGTATTTCTCTTTCCTCACCGCCAAAAAGGGTACCCTTAAAAAAAAGACCCATTTGACGATTCTGATGAACGGCTTTCGATTGCAGGCGTGCAGGACCATAGTGTGTGTGCAGCACCGGAAAGGAACCCATTTGTTAGAACCCATTCTTAGGGTTCACCAGATGTAACATGTGTACATCTAAGTACAACCGCATATGTACATATATAGTTTGTTAGAACCCATTTGTTAGACCCCATTTGGATCATTTACCCCTTGGGTGTAGCAAGCCACCTCCTCCATGGGCTCAGCGTCTATCGTGGGAACCTGCTGGAAGGGCGGAAGTTGGCAGATTCGCAATGACTGGCACTAGTCGATACTGAACAACATTCACGAGATGGGTGTGTCTTTTTCAGGGACCCTTCCCAGCAAAAAGAATTGGTGGTCGTCCTTTTGCTTTTCCTTTCAAACCCTCAAAGCAAGGGTACCCTCAAAGAAGGACAGGCCCAGATACATCCGCCAGTTCACCACTATCCGCCATTTTGGCAGTGTATGAGCATCCCAAATTGGGAGCCGCTTGCACTTGCGCATAGCCACTGCAAATCCGTGTTGTGCAGAGTGCAGATGAGCTGAAGTATCCTTTCGCCCTTGCCAACATTGACTCGCATGTGTTCGTTGTTGGTTTTTCAACATCACTCCTGTGATCATTTCAGGTGAGTTTCCCATGGCAGGGCTATATGACCCCCAGTAGTGCGCTTTTACCCTTTCTTGGGAGAGGGTTCCCCTACTGAATTAGACTACAGGAAAAGTTGGTACCCTTATTCTAACCTCTCTACTGGAGGACCTAGATGACGGTTCCTCATGTGCTCTCCGTCGCTTAAGGTAACATGGCAATTCTCCGCTCATTTGCCCATTGAAAGCCAGCTAATGTTGACCCCAGATTTAATAAACCCCTGGTTGATTTTGATCGGGGGGTGTCCCCTTTTAGTGGACTTCACTTTTGGAGGGAAGACCCCCCTAATACTGGGACAGGTTTAATCCGGGGTCAACATTAGAAAGTGGGATCGGGGGAGAAAGCAGTTCCACTGGTTGTTCAGGCCTCGGTACCGCTCGGGCGGTTGGGCCTGTCCTTTTGCCATCCTTGGGACTTGTCCTGCCACGAATCCCTTTGGAGTCGTGCCAGATTTTTGGGGTTTTAAAGCTAGAAAACATTCATTTTGCGTGGTGCAACTCTGATTCATCCCAAGTGGACACGAATGAAGGCAATCCCAAAACTACGAGCAGACTTGAGTCCGGAGGAGAGTAGCGCAAAGCAAAGCCTACACAGCCTATACTTGTTGGGCTGTGGTGTTCTTGTAAATGGCTTCCTCTACAAATTTGGAGGTTCATGTAAGCCAGGAGTGGCAACAATGGCTCTCTCTTTTTGCGGTGCAACCATTCAACCAAGTTGCTCTCAGAACCGTTCATCAAGCATGCCTATATGTTGACCCCGGATTAATAGCAATCCAGTCAAGGGTCACTGCGTGTGTTGGACACTTCATTGTTCTTGGATCATGTGTTTAGTTGCCGTCCTGTTTTTTTGTCCTTTTTTTTTTCCTTTTCTGTTCATTCTTTTGGTGGGCTGCAAAAACCAAAGGTTTGTTGCCAACAGGTTTGTTGCCAAGCCATACCGTTTAGGTTGTAAGGTTCAAATTACAAGGGCGATTTCAGGTTCGAGTGGCGTCGTGCCGGGACTCAAACAGAAGGCAAAGGACTCACGGGAGCTCCAGTGAAACCAAAGAAGCAACCATCAAGCCCTGTGTTTGACAAACCTAACACCTGCCCATCTTGAGGTAACAGCCTTCAAAACTATAAAACTGGAGTTAAAGGCCTGAAACGCACAGACCAGAATAAACACACTGAAGCCTGGAAGCAAGAAACAGCTGGAGAGTCCTCCGATGATTCGCCTTACACATCTTGTTTGGGTACTAAATGACCCATTGTTTGTTAATTTGCCGAAAGGGAAGCCAACAGGGGATGGGCAATTGTTTAGTTTTCCCCAGACCCCTACTTGGCACCCAGACCAGAATCGGCAGGTGGCACTACCGATTCCTGATGTGCAGGAAGGCGGGAGTTGAGTCTCACCAACCCTTGGACGTTCAACGCACGTCAGGTAAGTAAGTGCCGTCAGCTGAGAGCAGGGAAGAATGTAAGGCCACCGACCCTTTACTTGGACAGGTAAGTAGGTGATGTCAGCTGAAATCAAGTAAGTGTACTGTATAAGTAGAAGGGAATTAACCAACCAGTTGCGCTAGCAACCATTTTTGCAACTTATTAAGCGAATTGAACAGTTGAGCAAGAGGGTATAACCTGCGCAACAGGGCACTAAGCCCTCCAACCTGTGTGGTAGACACTTGGGGTCAATTTTGCAACCACCTTCTTCGGGGTATTGTTTTTGCTTGAGATTGTCCCGCGTTCCTCTGAGGGAAACATCTGCAATTGGTCCCGGCCTCATATGCCCCTTTTTGGTGATTTGAACAGAACATCAACTTGAGTTTCCTCTTTTTGTCCCAACTTATGATTTGCTCATATGTCCCTTTTTGGGTTACAATTTGAGTTTCCTCCAAGTGGGGTGATGTAAGGGAGATGCGGGGAGCCCTGTAATGCAAGGGCTCAATACCCTCCTGTCCACTAGCATGGAATCCAGCGGTTGGATAGTCTGCCAGGCTGCCAGGACCCCTCCCCCAAGTCAGGCTCCATGTCAGTGGATGTTCTTCCACAAGCACGAGGTGCTGTATATACTTTGGTCTGTTGCGCACAACCTCGATCCAATTACACAGGCCCTTTGTCTCTTAAAGACCAAAACACCGAGTTGTGCGAAAACCATGTTGGCAAACCAAACTGTCTTACCTGGTAAACCAAGCCACCCACGCCACACCAAACCACGCCAAACCACCAAACAAACCACCAAACAAACCACCAAACAAACCACACCAAACTCCAGCAAACTCCAGCAAACCACACCAAACCACAGCAAACCACACCAAACTCCAGCAAACTCCAGCAAACCACACCAAACCACACCAAACCACACCAAACTCCAGCAAACTCCAGCAAACCACACCAAACCACACCAAACTCTAGCAACATCCACTCAGTAGGTGTCTTACATGAGGCGTTTTCCTTTCTTCGCCTCGCCACGGCCAAAGCCCGTGGCGCGGGAGGCGCTGTGGGTGTGGCCGCCGGCGCGTGCCACTCCGTGGTGGCCCAGCGATTCTTCGGGGAGGGCGGAGATCGCGGGGCCCCGCTTTTGGTGGTGAAATTTTACGGGGAGTCCAAAAGAGCCACCAGTTTTGGAGGATTTGTTTCCAGTTTTGCAGGATTTGTTTAAAGAGGGAGTCCAAAAGAGCCACCAGCAAAAACCCGTTTTGGTGGTGATTATTTTTTTGGACACAAAAGAGCCACCATGAACACCCATTCGGGTAGGAATGCCAAGTGGTTAAAGCCAGAAATGGGTGCGGATTCGTTGAATTTGGGGTTTCCTCTTGAGAGAAGCCCAAAGTTCGAATCTGAACCACTAAGGGAAAAGGAGTTGTTCAACGCTGCAAGCGGACGGTCGAGGATACTTCTAGGGGCCAGCCAAACAAAACTAAATTCAGTGGAAGAGGATGCTGCAAAGCAGGTGGTTTAGGATCTAGCCTTCGGCCAAATCCGAGGGCCCCCGGGAAATTTTCGGGGAAGATCGCCATGTTTTTTTTCGCGGTCCCGTATGTTTTAAGACAAAGCCACATGGGTCTGTCTGTTTTTACGGACCCCCAAACAGAAAGAAGTGTTTTTGTGTCTGAGGTTTCCCTTGAAACCCTCCAAGAAAGGGGTCTCAAAAAGACGACCCACATGGCTGTGAATCTTGATGGTTTGCCCTTGATATAGCTGCTGAACATACAGCTCATGTCCACCGAAGGGGTGCCAAAACATATCCACATGGACGTACTGTGGATGGACCAAATCCTGCACCACTTGGAAACCCGGAGAAATCATTGCTTGTTGGTTGTTACAGGGGAAGCAGCATTCCAGGGTTTCTTAGGTGGTGCGAAATGGATTTCGTCCATCCACAGTATGATTTTTGAAGATACCCACGTCCGTTGAGAGACACACTCATATGAGTCGCAATCAAAACCTGGTACAAAAATGGTGAACCCAGAACCATGTACAGGATTAAGAAGGCGGATTTCCGCAGCTATTTCTGGCAAGGGGATTGTCCCTTACTAACCTAACCATTTGTCATTCTCCTTCGGCATTCGTTTCGAAACTCATTTCTGGGCTACGGCAAAGGGATAGAATGCCCTGTGTCAGTTGGCCATAGGCTGCGGTTCGTGGGTGGTGTGTGGTCGGTTTACTCCAGATTTACGGGTCACATACCAAACCAGGGTCCAAAACAGGGTTCCACGCTTTCCCTCTCGCTTGCGGGTGTCCATTTGAAAGCAAACACCTTCAACCAACAAACACAACCAACACAACAACAGCAAGCCTGTAAGTTTGTACAGCAGCTCCAGCAAGGAGAGTAAATATTTGCGCTCCTTGGAGCTAGTTCACGCAGCTTTGGGTGTGTCTTATTTCTGGGTGGGATAGGTCTTTGTGGGTCTGCTGTTGGGAAATCTTTGATACAGTTGATTTGCCAAGTATTGAATTTTGAAATTGGACCCAATACATATCCAGCTAGAAAGCGCTGGTGAGTTGCGATCAGTGACTTGCAACTTACAGGAAACAAAACTCGGGTTTCTCATTTGTTCAATCCCTCCCCCCTTTCAGTGGGGATTGACATCATACTCCCCTGCCAATTGACATAGAAGCTGAAAAGGGGCTCTTCAAACTGCATTTGCTCTAAACATGTCGGTTGTTTGGGTTCCACGTTACACGTGCAGGAGAGCAACCCACAACAACCTCCAGAATCCAGGTTTCTATATTTCCCTTTTTGGTTTTAAGCCTCACCTTTTAAAGCTGTTTTTGTCTTTTCTTTTTGTAGGAGGAGGACGGGTGGGTTTTATTTTGAGACATACCCCGCTTTTGGAAATGCCCAGTGCCCCGGCTGATGGAAATCCACCGACCATGTTGGGCCGGGTTGCTCCCTACCTTTACCCTTACAAATTCGAAGAAATCTGGGTATGTCTCAAAATAAAACCCGCCCACCCCATCCTCCTCCTAAAAGAAAAGACAAAACAGGTTTTTTTTTGAGGTTCCCTTTATACCCACCCCCAACCAAAGGCATCCTCTTTCAGCCGCCAGCTGAATCCGGGTCTCAAAGAGACCGCTGGAGCCATTTGGCGATGGCGTTCCGATTGGAGGTTGTGGGATCACTCGGGCTTTTTCCAACCACTTCTGTGATACTGTGGATGGACGAAATCCATTTCGCACCACCTAAGAAACCCTAGAATAATATGATCCCCTGTAAATACCAACAAACAATGGTTTCCCATGGTGTCTTGGGTGGTGCAGGATTTTGTCCATCCACAGTATCTTTGCCCTTTATGGTTGTATCACAGCGGATTCCACAATCACAGCCCTGTTATTTGAAATAAGGCCTTCCAGTGAATGGTTGCGAGATTCTGCACCTCAGAACTCCCAAGGGCATGGTGATTTTCCTCTCTAAATACCCTAACAAACCTAGAAGCCCCCCCCCAAAAAAACAAAATGGTGATGTTCCCCTCCCTCAAAGCCCTAACCAACCTCATGGCCCCGTTTTTCCGCCGTCTTCTTGGGGGTTTAGGGTACAAATCGAGGGATCCGAGGCCTGGTGCCGCCTGGGCGGCGTCTTCAGCTGGGGCCACGGCGGCGCCGGGCGCCTGGGCCTGGGCGGCGCTCGCCCGAGACTCAGCCGGCGGAGCTTGGCCCAGGCGGCGGGTTCTTTGTCTCAGTCGTTTTTTTTGGGGGTGGGGGGGTGGGCTCAAAGGGAAACCGAAAGGACACCAGCCATTTGGTGGTTGGTTTTTGCTTGTTTTTTTTTGGGGGGGTTGGTTTAAAGGGAAACCGAGAGGACACCAGCCTTTTTCTTCATTTTTTCGGGAAACCAAGAGGACCAGCCATTTTGGGGGTTGCAGCCTTGGTGTATGGGCGAGTTAACCATCAGTTGTATAACAATCAGCCTAGAGGACCCTACCCCATTCCCGATCGAGTTCCATTTCGGACTAAAGAGTCACTTTTTGGGGTTTGGACCATCTTAGTGGTAAACAAAAAGTGTGGGTACGTTTTGGGCCCGTCCACTCGATCGGAAGTGAGTATGAGCGGCTTTTCTGTCTTGGCAAGTTATAGTTCCAGAGATAGTTGGTGTTTGTTTTCTTTTCTCACTCCGACTCATGCTCCAAACCAAGCCCCCTCCCAAACCACCAAGCCAAGCCACCGAATACGGTGGATGGACGAAATCCATTTCGCACACCTAAGAAACCATGGTTTAAACTAAGGTTTGTTGGTATTTATTAGGGGACTCGAATCAGACACCAGGGTTTCCTAGCTGGTGCAGGATTTCGTTCATCCACAATAGGGACTCACTCCGTGAGTTCCTAGACTTTCGTCACTTTTTGGCTTCGACCATGGACCAAGCATTTGCCTACTTGTTTTTTTGGCCAATCGATCGGTGAGTTGTTGGAGGGTATGACTCTCCCGGGGTCTCCAAAGAAAAAATAGGGTCGTGTGTTTTTGCGCAGGGTGCCCTTAAGGCTAGCCCAAACGAGAAACACCAAAAAGTACTCGCAAGGTTACCTGGAGTCTCCATGACCATTAAAAAATGGGGTCATTACCCAAAATAAAGGGGTCATGGACCCATTTTTAGGGTCATGGAGACTCCAGGTACCACAATTCCTTTTTTTGCAGCATCCATGACGGCGTTGCCCGGAACGAGTGTGGGCTGACGCCGCAAATAAAATTCAGAAGGCAGTGAGAGCCGGGCTAACCACGGGGTTTGTCAGCAATATGTCCCCAAAGATATCGGACACTGAAGTCTGTAATGTGGAGGCCGTCCTTCTCGTGGCATGGCCGGCAGCGACGCGCGCCGATGTGCTGGCCTGCACAAGGGTTCGGAGACGGAAAGTGAACTTGATGTGGTCGTTTGCACGGAGTTTTACGTTCTTCGACACCTTCAGTCTCTCCACATGGGCCGCCCCGGCCTTTTAGGGGATTTACGCTCCTATTCTTGGACGAAGTGCATGAGATGACTGACAATATGATACGTGCTGGAGCTCGGTTTCACCGACTGCTCTGCCGTTTGCGGACACCGGCGGACACAATTTGCCGCGCTTGGGGGGTGGGCTGGGCCCCTTGGTGCATGCCACCCTCGGAGACGCCCTTTTAGTATGGGTGTTTATTCCCGGGTGCGGGAAGCTGAACAGGAAGCCAGCACTTTGAGACAGGCCCTTGCCTTTTTAAGGTGTCCTGTTCCCATTTCTGGCAGATTCTCGCAGATCATTTTTTCCTGCCCCCATTTCAAGGGGCCAGAAGGAAACCAGCCAGTTGGGCCTGTCTCAAAATGAATTGCCTCAAAAGTGGTGTCCATTTGGCTTGTCTTTGGAACAACCCCGAGAAAAAAAGAAGAAGTGTGTCTTCACGAAAGCGGAGCCGATGTGCATTCGCGCCCGACTGAGATAACGAGCGTGGGCCGGTGCAAGTTCAGGCGGGGCGCATACGTTCGGACCCGGGTTCCCTTTACCAGAGCCAGCTATCCCGGGTCCCCCAGTAGTGCCCTTTTACCCTTCTTTGGGGGAGGGTTCCCCTACTAAAAAAGACTACAGAACAAAGGGCACCCTGTTCGAACATGGCTCGTTGCGGCCCCAGACCGGAAATCGATGCCGTTGGGATCTGTTCTTGCCTGATGGTGAAAATCCGTTTCGCACCGGGTGGGTGGTTTAGCAGCCAGTGGCAGAATAGTCGGGTTTCATTCATCCCAACTATATTCAGTCAATGAGCATAAACCGGGAACTTTGGGGGTTTCCCTATTTTGAGCAGCATGTTGGGTAAACATTTGAAACGCCCAGAGGTGTCCATCTTTGACTTCTTTCCCCGCCACGGACGCCAAATGGCAACTGGTGGCTTGGGCTCGCTTCGGGTGGAAGGCGGGTGAGTACTGCTTTGGGTTTAGGGAATATCTAAGGGGTGGTCCAAGGATGCCCTACTCTGTCAGGACCCCCAAAAAATCTGGGGAACGCTCTCAACTACCCCCTTGCCCTAATCTCGGGATTGTAGATACCCCAGTTGCAAAGAGGTACTTGGATGTACCAACGCAAGGTTAGCCAGGGTAATTAAATGAGGTGTGGGCCTTACCATGACTAGAACCGTCTTACTAACTGGCCGGAACACCCAAGCGAGCTTTAGGGCACAAATCCACGCATCATAGCTCAAACTTGTCAACTACCAAACACATCCAAAAGCAAGTTAATTTCCTGTAGAATTTCCTTTGTTTCTACTCAGACCGCCCGGCGTGCCACGCTTTTCTCCACACGAAGGGGAGCTGCACGCAGGCCTTGTCCCAGTTGAAGGTGGTGCCCGGACCTCGGAGAATGGAGACGTGGGGCGTGCAAGCCGTTTTTTCAGCTTTTGCCTTTTCCTTGCGTTGGTTTCAAAGGCCACGAGGAATACCAAGTTCTTTTTGCAGATGCAAAAAAAAGCAACAACAACAACAACAACACCCATGTATGCATAATGGAAGTGGTGTTGGGGTGTTGGAGAACTACCATCCGGACTTCGGGAAGGCTGATGGAACATCACAAAGAACTACTGTGGATGGACGAAATCCATTTCGCACCACCTCTCAGAAACCCTGGAATGATGATTCCCCCGAAAATACCAACAAACAATGGTGTCCCCTGGTTTCACCGTGGTGCGAACTGGATTTCGTCCATCAGTACCATCCCAAACTATCCCTGAAAAACGGCTTCCATGGGACAGGCTTGGACCTCGACCTGGGCCAACATGTCTCCATTTTTTTTTGGGATCCCATGTTCTAGGCAGCCCCGGTAACCTGGGAACCCGCCAAACGGGGTGCGGGGGAAACCCGGGGGGCGCCCGAGTTTTGTGAGAGAATCCGATTTCTGGGGCCAAACCAAAAGGGAAGAAGCTTGGCTCCCGGCCATGCGGCTCCTTTGAGCTTTGTAGTTGGTCTAGTGGTCGGGTGTCCGAAGTTCACCCACTGGTTGACACCTTCTTAGGCCCGGGATCGGAGGCCAGGGTAGCCCGGCACGCCGAGGCTGGCACGGTGCGGGGCGAACTTCACCCTCTTTGTGCAGCTCGCTGAGACGAAAATTGTGGGTCTTCGTTAGTTGCTAGGTCTTCCAGTAGTGCCCTTTTACCCTTTCTTGGGGGAGGGTTCCCCTACTAAAATAGACTACAGAAAAAGGGTGCCCTTATTCGAACCTCTCTACTGGAGGACCTAGGGTTGGTTCAGAGGGAGTCATGTGTCCAAATTTTACAGCTTTCTGAAAGTGGCGGCTTTCCTTATGACTTCCCCAAAGTTTCTTTGGTTTCCATGCCCTTTCCAGAGCAGAAAGTGGCGATCCTTTCAATGGAACCCACCAGTAAATTGAAACTCCAGGGGAAATCCAGTGACCGGTTGCGCCCTGCTCGTTTCCTGCGGCTTGGTAGACGTGTGCTTCAAAAGCCATTGTTCGACCCTTGTCTTTTGGGACACGGGGAATGGCTGTGTGTCAGCCCCTTTTTTCACGCCTTGTCGTTGGGATGGCGCAAACGAGTTTGGGGAAAGTGGTTGGTGGTATCGGATCCAGAAACAAGTCCAATCCAAGAACTTTTGAGCATACCTTTGGAGCATACTTTTTCTAACTTTCTCATGAGGATACATTTCATTGGGGTGGTGGTTCCCAGCCATAAACCCTTCGGTTTTTAGTCTTCTAGGTCCCCCTGTAGTGCCCTTTTGCCCTTTTTTGGGGGAGGCTTCCCCTACTAAAATAGATTACAGACAAAAATAAGGTACCCTTGTTGTAACCTCTCTACTGGAGGACCTAGTCTTTTTAGCGTTTGGTGGAAGTTAGACTTTTATAGCAGATCTGAGGACAGCCCGGACCATGCTCAGACGATATGCTCACAAGTTAGTGGAAACAGCTAACAGGGCTCCTTAAAAGATACATTTTGCCCATTTGAAACATGGCATTTTCCACCAGAATAAAGGGACACCACCTTTTACAAGGCAATGTTCAGGTGTATAATGCATCCGGATCCCTGAAGAAGCAAGCAAGCAAACGGACGGGCAACAGAAGCCTTCCTGCTTTCTCCCCCATGCGCGCCATATATGTACAGGTTCTTTCCGGGGGGGGGGGGTCGAAGTAATTGCCTTGGGCTTGATCAAGGCGAAGGCGAAGCAGGAAACTTCCGGAGCCTTGAAACTTCCATGGCCATGGGTTCCCATGGGGTTCTTGTTTACCCCTCTTGAACCTTAACTCCCCATCTTCGTGCCCCATATTCGCCATCCGGTTCGTTTTTAGTTGCTTGCGTGGCAGTTTCCATTTCACCCACAAGTTAAAAACGTTTGGCAGGGAGGATCAGCTCGGAAAGCCACACCTACGTCTCAAACGGCAGGCTCCCTTTTTTGTCGAGGCGATCCCGCCTGAGACTCCGAGCTCGGAGTTGGAATTTGGGGACAATCCCCTGGCCATATCCCTTGGCCACAAACGGGGGGTGGGGGGGCCAATGTATGTTGGCGATATCCGATATTGGGCCCCAATAAAGGCTTGGAGGCGCTTACACCAAAATTTCCTCCATGTCCCCTTTTTTTGGGAGATCAGCAAGTTGATCAACTTTTGGAGGGGAGATCCAGTGACCCTCCAAGAAAAGGGGGGCCGGATCCCCCCAGGCGCACTTTTGATTCGTGATGGGGAGACTCCTTCAACACCAGCTGTTCGACGGGCGGTAGGCTTCTCGTTCGGTTCCTGAGGGCTCTTAGGTGTGTTTTTTTTGTTGGTTTCATGGGGGGGGTCCGAACTTAACCTACTAAAAGTTGAGAACTTTTAGCGGGGGATCTGAGTCATCTGAGGACAGTCCAGTTTTTGTCACGATGTTTTTGAGACGACCTAATCGTATTCCCCCACCAACAGGTGTAATGGCTTCCTGGGACCCCATCTGGCTGTTTTTTTTCTTTCTTGGTCATACGATTTTGACCGAAAAAAATGGCCATACGGATGTTTACGTTTTTTTTTTTTTTTCAACAACGTGTCGAAAACATATGGGTTTCATACGTGTGATGTACGCAAATGACAGAAAGATCATGGCCATACGGGCAAATACGGCCAAATACGGGAGTTTGACCGGGAAAAAAAAAACAGAAACAGAAAACAACAAAACAAAAACAGCCATACGGGGTGCCAGGTTGGTTTTGTTTGGAGCTATGCCAACCCGATCGACCAAACACGTTCACTTTCAACCGCTTCCTGTTGATGTTGTTTGAGAAGATCGAAGGTCCCTGCCTGTTTTCCGTGGTTGAAAGGCTCGACTCATGGGTCCTGCTGTAATTTCTCTCTTGTTCCTATAGGAGGTTCCATGTTTGCATGCTGTTCTTGAGGTTCTTTTTGTTGGCGTTTCTCCGAAGTATCGTGTTGAGGACCCGGCGTTTTGAGTGTGACTCTCGAAGGGTTTCGCAGGTTTTTTGCATTCCAACGTGAGGACCGAGCCTGTGCGAAGTCTTCCTCACGGAGGAACTGGCGCAGAAGTCTCAGACAGACCACCCAGTTATTGTCATTATTGGGTCCCTTAAAATGACCCCGCGGTTGGTGTCCCTCCCTTTCTTGGCAGTCCCCAGCCATCCGGTTCCTTAGATTCTCAGGGTTTTGTGTGGGTTTAATTGCTGGGTTCTCAAAATTACATTTGGGGTGGTTTCCCTTTAAGCCGCCACAAAAAGAAGGCACTTTGATTGAGAAGATCCATGTCGACTTTGGAATCTGGAGGCTCTTTTACGGAAATGATGCATTTGGAGGGTTCCTCTGATTCGTAGGGTCCATGTTGACCCCCTACCGTGGATGGTTAAGCACTACCTTGCAACCACGGGAAACCAGTGTTTGTTGTAACTTTTTTGGGGGGATGCAGGGTTCATTTCCAAAGAAACACACAATTGCAGCATGGTTTTCTGAGTGGAAGATAATTGTTTTTTTTTTTTGGCGGGTGCCCTGTTTTTTATAGCGGAAATCTGAAGGACAATCGCTTCCCCCAAAAAAGAGACCTAAATGGACACCAACGTCCGTCTCAACGCTCATGTCATTTGTTCCGATCCATTTTGGGAATGCATCCTTTGCACCCCATGTGGTTCGCTGCCAGTAAGGAGGTCTATGTGGCTGGCCTTACGCCAGCATTGTGGCAGACGTAGAAGCGGCGCTCAGGCTGGCTGAGACTAGTTCTAGTCAGTGCGAGGCATGTTCGCAGACTTGGGCGTGCGGCGCAGAACCTTCGGCAAGTCCGACTTCCGGGTTGGAGCCACCCGCTTCCTGCATCACGCGGCGTGCGCGCTGAACATATTTACGACTATGCGACGAGTGAGAACCCGGCCAGGTGATCCTTCCCGGACACCTCCATTTGGATGTGTGTCAAGATAGGGAACCCTACCCTGTTGACACTCCTTAGGAAAATAATGGTGATTCTACGAACTCCTTTGCTTCAATAGTGCCTGGAGTCTCCATGATCCTTAAAAAATGGGGTCATTACCCAAAATAATGGGGTCGTTGACCCATTTGTAAAGGGTCCTTAGGGAGACTCCAGGTGGTTTTTGAATCCCAGGGCCTACAAATTACATGGACTTGCGTCGTTCCTTTCTATTTCTCAGAAAGCCAAGCCGAGGGGTTCCTCGAGCCTCATTTGAGGACATGTGGGTCTATCTTTTCTTGGAGTTGGTTGCCCCCACCCCCCTCCGTTGGTTTCTGGCTTTAAAAGGAAACCAACAGTTAAAGCCAAAATCCATTTTGCTGGGGTCCGAAATCCCCCTCAAAAAAAAAGGAAGGCGGAAGCCACCCCGGAACGCCGAAGACTCCGTTTTGCTGGGCTCCGAACAACTCCCCAAACAAGCAAACAATGTCGCCGAGCCGAGCGCATTTGGAGCATCGGTATTTACATGGGGGTCATATCCGGGTTTCTTAGGTGGTGCGATTTCTGGATTTCGCAGCCATCCACAGTAGGTATCCATGTCTGCATAGAAATAGATGGAACACCACTGGTTTAGATGGGCTTTTATGCCCCATTTTTCAGGGAACCCCATCTATGTTCCCATGATTGCCACCACCCATTCCTCACCATTCAGTCTAGGAAACGGTTTGGATGCGGTTTTTGTGGATCCACCCCTGTAGGACCTTAAAAGAGTGCTAAAATAGCACTCACAAAAAGAAAAAACGGGTAAAATCCACAAAAAGCAAAAATGAGCAGGTGAGACCCACATTAAAAGAGTACTAAACCAGGTGAAAAAAACGAGTTTTTCTAGATGGAGTGACTCCTCAGGTGCGGCTCTGGTCCTGCGGCGGCAACCTCTATGGCCAGCTGGGGCTGGGCCAGTCTGGCCCGGGACCCGGGACGCTCAGCGATTGCTTCGCTTTTTCGCGCGAGCGCGCGGCACGAGGTGCCATGATTCTTCCCCAGAACTAGTTCCCCTGTTTTTTTTTGTTTAATCTTTTTTGGGGTCCCCTTGGCTTTCCACTAACCAGGCAAAAACATATTTTTGGGCTGGGGTCCTAGTTCCAGCCAATGATTCCCTTCGCCAAAAAAACACTTACGGATGGGGGTTGCTGGACTTGAACATGGGGGTTGATCAACATTCCTTTTTTTGCAGGGCTCCTTAAAAGATCTCCATTTTGCCCATCCATTTGAAACATGTTGCTTTTTCCACCAGAATAAAGTTGGAAACCACCAAATAGACAAGTTGCAATGTTCGATCGGTGTTTTTCATGCATCCGGATCCCTGATTTGGGCCTCGCAGTTGGGACCATTCACTTGGGTGCGCGTTGTTACGTGTCTTCTTCTTTTTTTCCCCCCAGCTTAGCATGCTACCCCGAAGGCCCTCATGAGGAAGCTGGGTTTTGGGTCCCGGACCCTGTGTAGGTCTGGTTGTTTTTGAGGGTACCCCCGTTTTTGGTGGTTTTAAATGAACGCCAAGAAAAAAAAAACAAAAAAAAAACAAAAAAAACACGAGTGAGTGGTGAGCAGACAGGATTAACTTGTTTCTCAGTTACCCAAGCCGAATTGAGCCCCAAAAGGTTAACCTTTAATTTCCAAACCGCTCACTTGGCCACTCCACTCAGGAAGTGAGCTAAAAACAAGCTCGTGTGGGACTCCGGATCACGGTGGGAATCAACACCCAACAGGGATCCCATGTGTCAAAAAGGGATTTGGAGACCCAAAAGTGGCGGTCTCTTTTTGAGACGGACATGAGCGGTGTCCTTTACACCCACCCAAAAAAGGGCTTCAGAAGACCAATTTCTAGGTCCAGTGGTGCCCATTTACCCTTTTTTGGGGAGGGTTCCCCGACTAAAATAGATTACAGAAGAAAAAGGGTACCCTTATTCTAACCTCTCTACTGAACCACCTAACATTTGGTTGGCCCTTGGACCTGTCGGATGATCAAACTGGGATCTTTTTCTTGAACCCAGAGAACCACTAGTTACCACTATGCTGGAACCCCGGATGCATAAAGCCTTGGTTGATCAAGGGGGGGGTGTTCCATTCGTCTTGAAGGGAACTCTTTGGAGCACCCATCTCAATCTGGCAGGTTGAACCCTTTGTCGGCACTGACCAAGAGAACCAGGTGCCATCCTCTAAACAAAAAAGAAAGGCTCGGAACTCCTGGCAACGTTCTGTGACCAACACGGCAAAATCCACAACCCAGTTGCCCAGTTCGTTCTATTATGATTTGGGTGACTTTCTATCCGGGTAGCTCTAAACAGGGAAGAACCCACGACCCTTGGTGGCTCCCAGCCATCCGGTTCCTTAGCTTAGCTTTTTAGCGGTTTAGTGGTTGGGTTTCCTAGCCATGTCTAAAAGTGACGTAACTGGGGTTGGTTCCCTTGTGGTCATGGTTTGGTTCTACTTGCGTGGGCGGGCATGCGAGTAGAGCAGCTTCTTGCTGGCTGCCTTTTTGGTCAAAATCGATTTCTGCGGTTGTCGAGGACCTCCCCAGCAGCTGCTTTCCTGGTTTGGGTAGGTAGACCATTCTAACAGCGGGTTTTGTGTTGTAGCCCACTTGAGTCACAATCAGACCCCGGTAAAGGAAGGCTAAATAGGTGCGGATATTTGCCTTCCGAAAGTTCTTCATACGGTTCCAGGTTACCCTCCCACCAACTAACATGGAAGTGTAGAAAGGCCCTTTCCAAGAGGAGTCTGTCGTCTTTCTACAGGGATCTGTGCATTTCCATGTTGGTGGTGGGTAGCCTCAAAACCATGACAACCCCCAAATGGACTTAAACCCAGGAGTAGTTGATTTCCCCCAAAGGGAAACGGGTTTAAGTCCGTGTCATGGGAGGGTAACCGTTTTGGTACCGGGTTATGGTTCTAAGCCACTTGGCTCTTTGAAGTGCCAGGCGAGGAGTCGCCGCAGGCCCTGGTGCCGGGTGCCCAAGCTTCAGTGGATCGCTAGGAGACTTCTCTGAGGTTTGATTTCATCTTATTCGCCTGGCTTATCTTCCGCCAGGCCTTTTTTTGCTGGGGTCCTAATTCCCGCCAAGTTACCAAGGGGATGCTAGGTGGAGGGGGAATCCTTTCCGTTTTCATGGAAGAGGGGGGTTCACATTCATCAAGAGGAAGTGGAGGATGGGAAGAAATTGAGGATGGGAAGTACCTACCCTAAATTCCCAGAAACTCCGTGGACAGCGTCCCCTCATCAGACAGACATTGACATTTTTGTTTTTCTCTCGGGAGAACTGAAGCTGTTCTTCGGACGCAGGTTCCTCGCTATGGATCACTGAATGGGCTTGTCTTTTTGTTGGCACCCCTGTTGGTTTTGAACGGTCCGAATCCAAGAAGAACCATACCCCATGTTGTGGACCAGAATCCCTCTGTTCTTGTGGAAGGGGTGGTGGTGGCAACGGTTGCTGATCTCCCATGTTCAGGGCATGTTGGATCCCTAACTGTGCTTGGGTTCCCGAAGCAAATGGAATGAACAATTTGGGGCCGGGGCACTGGTTGCAAATTGGGTTTGTGTCTGGATGCAGTCTGGTTAGACCCGGGCTCTCCATGGAAAATTGAGGGCTTTCCCCAGGAGATTCAACAATGGGTGGTTTGGGGGCTTGGGGGGGTTCCTTTTTGCAAATATTGCTGTAGCGTTTTCGTCTCTTCAACTTTGTTCATCGAATTCCCCCGGTTGTTCACTGTCAAGCCTTCCTTCCCCCTTCGTTTGGTGTGGGCTTCAACCACTAGCGCTGGTCAACCAAAAGGAGTCTTATTTTTAGCAGGGTCACCACCGGACTTTGCATTTTGTCATTTCACTTCTTGCCTTCTGTCAAGTTGGTATTTGCTGGGTTTTGCAGGCGTGGAAAAGTAAGGCAGTATATTTACCCCGGAAAAATATGAATGGTACATAACCTCCACAGGGCTCCTTAAAAGATACATTTTGCCCATTTGAAACATGGCTTTTTCCGCCAAAATGAAGGGACACCGCCATTTACAAGTTGCAATGTTCGACGGTGATTTTCATGCCTCCACCCCTCTCCCTGAAAAAGCCCTTGATTGTTGGCTTCCCATCATGTTCCCTTTGATTCAGCCAGGAACCACTTGTCATCATTTTCCCTTCCATGCCTGCTGCTTGGTGGCATCCTTTTCCCTTTTTTGTGTGGCTTCCGAGGACCACAAGTCGTCAACCCCAACGGCGTTCATCTGCTTTCTTTCAGGGTCACTGACTAGGTCCCCCAGCGATTGGTGCCCTTTTACCGTTTCTTTTTTGGGGGAGGGTTCCCCTACTAAAATAGACTACAGAAAAAAGTTGGTACCCTTATTCTCACCTCTCTACTGGAGGACCTAGATGTTGAGCCGCATATTAATGACCCCCAGCTTATCAATAGGGGCTACCCCTGGCTTTCGTGGGGAATCAGACCACTTTTGGAGGGGCCACGCCTCCCAATTCAGAAACTGGGGGTTGATGAGTCAACATCAGTTGGTTAAGATGCAAATCGTGGAGGCTTAGGAGGGTCTTGGAATATGTCTTGGGAAAGTGCTTGTGGCAATTAGTGGTGATCACCCATGGGCTTCTTGAATGTGGCGCAGACAAGTTTGTGTGTGGCTAGTACAGTGGGCTATAACCTACTCATCGGTTCAAGTAGAGTTGGCAACTGATTGCAGGCAGATTACAACCTAGTTCCTTCACTTGTCGTAAGCAACTATAATCTTCTAACCTTATGGTTGTTCCCTCGGTTTCCCTAAGTAACCCCCAAACAAAGGCTGCCCGCGTCAGAGGAACATGTTTGCTTTTTTTAAAGACCATTTCGGGCCGACGCTCGGAAAGAGCCCGGGTTTCTTAAGCCCCACCCAGGGCCGCTTCGCTCGCTCGGACAGACGGACCTCGGATGGATCTTAGGCCGCAGGTGGTGGACTTCCACGGGGAGTGCCCGGCCTCGCGGAACCGGGGCACCCACGGGGTGCTGGCGGTGGAGGGCCTCGAGCTGGGGGGCCCTGGGGCCCTGGGGGGCCCGGCCCGGCCGAGGAGATCTGAGTGGAGGCGGTGGCGTCAGCAAGTTGGTTGGCTTGGGTTGGGTTTGGGTTGGCTTGGCTTGGCTTGGGTTGGGTTTAGGTTTGGTTTGGTGTGGTTCGTTGTTACGTGTGGTTGTGGTTGCATGCGTGGTTCATGTAATCAATGTGTTTCTTTTAGGAAGACATGGGGGGTTCTTCAGTCCCTCGGGTTGTCAAGGGCCCCTGATAGGGCCCCCCAATCCCACAGAGGGCTAACCTGCGAATCATGGGGTGCCGTAAGTCAGCATTGGTGGTTTGGATTGGTGGTTTGTGGATTTGAACGCCAAATGGGCAAGACACCCCTAATCCAAAACCACCAAGTGGGGGTGAGGTGAAGGGCCATGAGAAGAAGGGTGCTTGACAGCCGAATTCACTCATCATGTAGGAGCAAAGTGTTGGTAGCTATGTACCCTTCATACTGTGCATGGACGAAATCCATTTCGCACCACCTCAGCAACCCTGGAAATGATGACTCCCTTGTAAATACCAATGAACAACGGTTTCCCATTGTTCCCAAGCGGTGCGAAACGGATTTGTTCCATCCACTGTATTTAAGCAGCTAGGTACCGCAGGCTTTGGATCGGCAGGGGCGAATATGAGTCTTGGTTCCGAAGCTCGGGGGTTCTTCCTAGGAGATATTTGGGTGTGTCTTTGTTTGAGGATACCCCTTTTTGGTGGTTTTAACGGACAACTACAAGGAAACCAGTTGTGTTTTTTTTTGGGTGTGTGTGTGTAAAAAGAAGACACGCCCATATAGGTATGGCCTTCATGCTTTTGGTTGCCAATTCCTTTTGGCGTGGTTCTCAAGTGGGGTTCTCTCAAGGGACCAGTTGTTTTGGGCGGTCAAGGTGGGCAATGGGTTGTCGGATGTGTGACTGGTTGCTTGTGCCATAGTGGGGGGGGTTGGGACAGAACCGATGTGACCTTCCACCTAACTTGGGATTCGGCACAGCTAGTAAGTGTCGAGATTACCAGGTAGCCCCACTCAATAATAGGTTGATTTTGATTGGGGGGTGTTCCCTTTTTGGTGCGTCTGAAATCAATTGTGAGAAGAACACCACACACACGTAACATACATGTTACAGCCTGGGTTACTCCCGCAAAGAGGGGTTGTTTTTCAATGGTGTCCGCAGAGGGGTTCACACTTGCTTCCCTGCTTTTCAATCACGGAAGCATGGCTTATCGTTTGACTCCGTGCTCTAAGGAAGTAGAAACGTGTGTCTTTTTGCGAGGGAGCCCTTGGGTTGCTTAAGGGAACCCAAAGGGAAACCATAAGACAAGCCAACAAGGACCACGTTAAACCCGCGGACAGTGGCTGTTTGCCGTAGCCGCTGCGCATTTGTTGCGACGGTGGTTGTAGAAGCGTGACTCGCATCCTAAACAGGTTCTCGGAAAGGGCTGGGGTCTCCTTCAAAACCATAATATTAGATTTCACGGTCTGAATAGGCAACAGAATCAAACGATACGTTCTTGGAGTACCTTAGACGTGGGACAAAGGGGCCCCAGCTTGCACCAAAGGACAATCATGCGTGTACTGATTTGGGTGTTCCTCAAAATAGGGGACGTCTCTCCCCCTCGCCCCAAAAGAAAAAACCTATTCGTGGTGAATCTCATTTTGGTTTCCCTTTAGAACAGTTTAAGGGGTTTCCTCTATTTCCCACTTGCCAAAGCTGGCTTTTTGACCTTTGCTTTTTCTGACTGGGCAACCATTTTCAGTGCCCCCAAAAGGTGATCACCTTGTATTCCTGGGTCCGAACTCAAGGGGTGTCCTCTATTTCGCTAAACTCCTTGCGTTACTTTGCCATCAAATTCCTTTTGACCGGAAGGGCAGGGTCTGGGTGTGTGGAGCTCGGGCCCCCGAAAAAAAGAGACACCCTGAATTCGGGTGTTTTGTTGGGGTAAGCCTGTTGAGGGTGCGGCTTTGGGAGACGGGAAGGACATGGTTGGGGTGTCCGTTTAGGTTGGTGCCAGATGGCCCTGGTTTCAGCTTGGTTTTGCCCGCAGCGCCAACAATAGTTTTCCATTTATTTGCATCTTATTTTTATGTTTCTTCTTGGAAACAAAAACCTAGGATTTGGGGTTTTCTGAATTTTGAGATAACTTTCGTTCGTTGAGCCCGCTAAGGGCACAAGCGCCCGAAAAGACAAGGCAACGTAAGACGCCGAAAAAGCGCCTCGTGCGACTCGGAGCTGCCGAGGTGTGGAGCGCACCACGTGATATGCCTGACGCGACCGCCAGGCGTGGGAGCACTCAAGCGTCGCTGGCAGATGGTTTGCTTGCAGGTGGTTTGGTGGTTTGGTGGAGGAGGGGTGCTTTTTTTTTGTTTTTGGTGGTTTGGGTTCGGTTGTGGGGTTTCCCATGTCGGCCTCTACAAAAGACAGGGCTTGAAATCCCCAAGCCAGTAACTGAGGATTCATGTTGACCCCATATTAAGCAACCAAGCTGTTTATTAATAGGGGGTGGGGGACCCCCCTATCAATAAACAGAAGTTGATTAACAGGGGGTCAACATCATGGCCGAAGGCCTGCAATCTACATGTTGGTGGCTCCCAGCCATTTTTCTTGGGTCTTTAGGTTCAAGGGATTTTAGTAGTTTCCCCATGAAACCTCTACAAGTGAGCTAAACTTTGAGCAGAAAATCGAAGGGGAGAAGCCCAGATATATCGATCGCTTTCCTCAGAAGGAGGGGTTTGGCTTCCGGTGGTTTGGCTTTGGGTCTTCTGGCTTGCTGGTTGTTCGATCCCTATTTTCGCAAGACCCTTCAAATCCGGGAGCTGCAAATCCAAAGGTTGAGCCTTCAACATGGGCGGCAACCTTCTGAGTTCCGTTCGAGCCATTCATGTTGTATTCTCTGCAGGGATCCTTCTCTTCAGAGATTTGGCCAAACCCACAGGAAAACAGGCGAGAACGATGGGTGAAGGGAATGGGAAATCAACCCATAGAACCATCTCTTGTTTGATGGGATTGACAACTCCCTCAATAGACTGGAGAACCCGTGATTGAATTGCTGGCTATAATGACTTCACGCTTCGGAGGCAACGCGCGACGCCACCCATGAAGCTTCTTTTGTCGTGTAAGGAGCCCAACGTTTTCGGTGGATGAAATGATAGAATTTGCCCAGGCCGATAGAAACGAGACCCAAAAGGAAGTTGTTGAAGCATCAGTGGTTTGAAAGATATTTAGGCGAAGGGGTCGCTCAACTGATGTCCGCCCTTTTGCCTTCTGGGTGCTCCGTGGCTCATGACTGTTTGGATTCCCCAACCGAAACCCATAGACAAACCCGTTCAAAGGCTTAGCAGGAGTTCCCTTTGGGGATCGGATATTCTTTTCTTTCTTCTTCCGATTGGCACTGAATCTACCTCAATTTCGCGGCACGAAAATTAGTACGCTTCCTCACCATAAAACGAGTGGGGATACCCGGATCATGTTTCCGCAAAAAGGGACCCCCCCCCCCCGTTTGTTGTGTGTCATGGCAACGGAGGGAGGGTAACCCCAAAAAGCAGAGACACGGCATGTGAGTCCCTTTTCCACAAAGCTTTGGGGACAGATCACAGCTTCCAGCCTTGTTTCCGGCCGCCAATTCACAGAGTGGAGCAACAACAGCTGCTATGCTGGCTGGTGGTTGGAAGGGAGCCATTGCGGAGCTGGGGAGAATTACCCTCCCACCAATGAACATGGAACGTCTTTGAGGACCCCCGTGTCAGGTTCCATGCTTATGGGTGGGAGGGTATCCAACTTGCATTTTGAGAGAGAGCTAGTAATTCGGTTTGGGGTACCGGCAAATGGGGGTTGAGCAACAGGTCCATCATATGGGATGACCATTGGGCGAAACCACTAGAAAGATGATAATGGCCACTAGGTGGAAAAGGTCGCTGAAGGTCATCTGGGGGCCAGACATATTGATCAATCCCCAAATATGGTGCCAGAAATTGGGGGAACGAAGTATTTCGATCAACCCCCAAATGTGGTCATATGCTACCATTGATGTTGGGCTTTGGAACCTTGGAAAGGGCTGGGGTGTCGACATTCTCATTGTTCCAAAGGTGGGGGATGCTCAAGGCTGGCACCCACAAACAAGGACACACCCTGCATCCTAAACTGAGCCACGGGCTCAAAACCGATTCGGGCAGATGAAGGTAAGGGGCAATCCCCTTGCCATAAACAGCTGCGGGTATCCGCCTTCTTAATTCTTTACATGGTTCTGGGTAGACCATTTTACTTCCGGGTTTTGATTGTGACTCAAATGCAGTTTGGCTGGTCCTTTGGCTCAGGAATCGGCGAGGGAATATGGCCACCATGTTTGCCTTTTAATGAACTCCCTCCCAACTGATGAGAAGAAACCCATCCCCCGTGAAGGGATCAGATGCTTCTAGACCTGCAGGTAGATAGCCCTATCATAGCCATAGGTTTGGGGAAGGGTACATAACCTACATAACCTTTGCATGGCTGCGTGGTATTTTGGCAAACCGCAAACCCAGGGTTGGCGTTTCAGTGGAAGCCAAAGCACACCACCCATTTTTTGGGTACTTTGAACTTTGACACATACCTGTGTCATGCTTGTTGTTGGGAAACTGTTTGTCATTTTTGCTTATTGCGGTTTTGGGGGGAATTGCGGTTTTGGGGGGGAAATCCCCACTTATCTTGGCCAACGTCAACCAAGATGTTTCGCGTGCCTCCAAACTAGGGAACCACCCAAGAAATCCGTGGCTTCCCTTTGAATTGCCCTTGAACGCCATCCAGCCTAACAAAAACACTCATGTCATGGTTATGATGTAGCGCGGTGGTTCAGCTTTTTCGTGCAGATGTCCATTTAACCCACCAAAGTTCAACTTTTAGCGGGGTCTGAGGACGGCCCAGAGGGGCTACAATCCATTCTTTTCAACCATCGTTCTTTTCTCGAAAAACCGGATCTGTTTTCCTGGGGTTTTCGATGGTTTCCTGAAAAGAAAGATTCAGATCCGGTTCAGAATGGAATCGGAAGTGTCCCCTACAAACTTGGGTCCAGTCTCAGGGAACCCGGTGGATCCCGGACACTTCCAATTCCATTCTGTCCTTTGGTTTCCCCCTGTAGGCGTCTCACACACTTAGCATTTGCCATAAACATTTCCCATAAATCAGGCTGCGGTTTTCCATTCGATTTCCCCCCATGGGTTCCCCCCATGTCCTTTTTGCAGCGGCTGGGTTTGCGACTATTCTAAAGGTAACGAACCCGATCCAATTGGAAGGTAACTTCGAAGGTAACTTCCAATTCCATTCTGAACCCGATCCGAATCTTTCCAGAAAACCATATCAGAGCTTCTGGTTGGAAACAGATCCAGCTTGCTTTTGGAATAAAAGAAGGATGGTTGAAAAGAATAAAAACGAAGTCAAGCCCTAGAATCTCCGTTTGGTTTTTTGATCTCGGGTGGCCAGGTTTTGGTTACCTACTATATATATATACTAGGTCGCCCAGTAGTGCCCTTTCTCACCCCTTTTTTGGGGGAGGGTTCCCCTACTAAAATAGACTACAGAAAAACAATCGGGTACCAACTTACTCTAACCTCTCAAATCTGGAGGACCGAATATAAATATACCTGGAGTCTCCATGATCCTTAAAAAATGGGGTCATTACCCAAAATAATGGGGTCGGTGACCCATTGGTAAAGGGTCATGGAGACTCCAGGTATTTATATATCTTGGCTCCAGTTGGAGCGGTTCCAACAACCTACTGTCCGACTATTCAGATAAATGGAGCTGGGGAAATGTTAATTTGTACCCCAGGATACATATTTTCTTTACAGGCATGTAGCGTTCCCAACAGAGAGGGGTATGATCTAATGAATCCAGTTGGATCCATTTCGCTCCACGTCTCCGCGGCTTCTTCCAGGTCAGGATCGGCTCGTGGTGTGGACGCCGGAAACTTAAGCCTTGAGAGTTCGCGAGGTCGCGAGTCGCTTGCGTCCGGGCACGGCCCTTTTGGTGCACTTCCATTTGGTTAAGAATATTTGTTACTTTCCCCTGCTGGTTTTAAAGGGAATCTATCATACTCTATCACTACTGGAATTATTTTTTTTTCCAGGGGACTTAAGTAAATGGAGGTGCACCGTGTTCGTGCCAAGTTAGTAAGTGCTTAAATTGGCGGTTCGCAGCCGTCCGGTTCCTGAGGTGTTTATGCTTTTAGTTGGTTTAGGGGGGGGTTTTCGGGGTTTCCATTTAAATCCACTAAAAGCTAAACTTGCATGGGATCTGAAGACAGCCCATACTTACCAGGCGAACTCGCGAACTCCACGTGACGGACGCAAATCAGTAGGTTGCAACCTAGGCTACTAGGTCGCCCAGTAGTGCCCTTTCACCAACTTTTTTTTTTTTTGGGAGGGCTCCCCTACTAAAAGAGACAAAAAAGAACAAACATGGTACCCTTATTCAACCTCTCAAAGTACTGGAGGATCTACCAATCACTTATCTTGGCCGATCTGCCAGTTGGGACCCCCGAGTTGGAGGACAGATTGCCCTTTTTGAGCTAGATTGCCCATCGTGGATCGGATCCGCATGCCAAACTTCTTCCTTCCAGGGCTTTGTTGCCAACGTTCACATACGCCTTGTTTGGGTTGCTACCTTCCTACAGGTTGCTAGGCTATAACCGGGGGTGGTTATGGATCCCGCGGAAAAATTAGACCATGACTCAGTTGTTCAAAACCGACCTTTTGACCTTTTGGTTTTCTCTTGTTGGTCTATTTTTAGTAGAGGTCCCAAAAGGTTAACCTTTTATTTGCAGGTCGTTTGGGGCAAGTGAGATGATCATCGATTTCTATGCAGGGGACCATGACCACAACCATTGGAGGGGTTTTGACCTGACGCACGGTGCACTAGTCAAAGACTGAGTTGCCCAGGGCGAATTGACATGAACAAGTATTTTGAGTTGTCTGCCAGCTTCGGCGCCAAAGCGTCATTCACCACTTCAGAGCCATAGCAAGGGGAACCATGCGATCATTGGCCATGATGTTCCATGGGCTCCCCGTCTTGTGGCTCTGAATCAGCATGAGAAGTTTGCAAGACATCCGGCCCCTGACTCGTGTGGAGTTTGAGTGGGTGCTCTTTCAGTTACTTGATGGTGACAGGGCTGTGGGTCAGAACCGATGGGGTGGGGTGTGGGGGTGGGGGGTGGGGGGTGGGGGTGGGGTGTGGGGGGGTGGGGGGTGGGGGGTGGGGGGCGGGGGGTGGGGGGTGGGGGGTGGGGGTACCTCTGGTTGGCAATAAACGCAGACCCCGATTGATCGTCCCAAGCACCTGAGCCCCAGAAACTGAATCCCATGGTTCTCCTTAACCCAAGAGCCCTGAGTTGACTCGGTTTCTCCTAGCTCGGTTCCTTAGCTTCTCCGGCACTTTTTCCACCAGAATAAAGTTGGAAACCACCATTTACAGGTGTATAATGTAAGGATCCCTGTTAGGTTTTCAGTTGGTTTAGTGGTAGTTTCCGAATTCAGCCCACGAACAGTGAGCAACTTTTAGCAGGGGATCTGAAAACGGGCGGCCCAGTTGTCCACGTAATCCAAAAAAGGGAACCTTGGATGTTTTAGGTTTTGGTGCTAGCTTCCATTTAGCCCACCAACCGCTAAACCCACTAGAGGGGAATTGAAAACGGGCAGCCCAGTTGTCTGTGTAATCAAAAGACGGGAGCGGATCCCACAAATTCCGCATGGTTTCACTGAGGTGGGGATCCGCAGTCTTCGGCCAGCGGCAGCCCCCAGACTTTTTTCGGCGGCAGGCCATGGTCTGCATAGACCAGGGTTCCGTTTTTAGAGAACCCTAAAGTGGACTTAAACCCAGTGGTAGATTGCCCCAAAAGGGAAACCCCTGAATTTAAGTCTACCTTGGGGTAGTCAAAAGACGGAACCCTGCTCTTCACTAGTCCTGGCAAGTTCCTAGCTAGCCAAGTTGCGATCGCTTTTTGCAGTCACTGTTGCTGGTTTTTGGGGTACAGCGCATGGCAAAAACAAACAACATCAACTGGCGATCCAGGTTCTTCGTTTTTTGGTTCCGTTCATCTTTAGGGGGCTTCAAAACGACCAGGTTTTTGCTACCAGACCAAGGGTCGTGAAGTTGTGTGTTGCTTCTTGCAAACCGGTTCCTTTGGGTTGCGTGGGTATGGTCGTCCCTTTTTGGGGTGAGGGGTTGGGCAGCCTTTTTTGTGGCTGGGTTTCAACCCAAACTAGGTCCCCCAGTGGTGCCAACTTTTACCGTTCCTTTTTTGGTTGGGAGGGTTCCCCTACTAAAATAGACTGCAGACAAAAGTTGGTACCCTTATTCTAACCGCTCAAATCTGGAGGACCTAGGTCTGGACATTACAAGAACACCAACACCTGCGATGGGAACCCCGGATGAATCAACCCCCAGCCTTTGATCGGATTCAGCGGGTTGGGCTGTGGATTGTGCAGCTGTGGCCTCCGCGAGGCGCAGATGAAGCGGGAGGTTTGCTTTCACAACCAAGCCAAACCAAACCGACCAAGCAAGCAAGCAAGAAAGCAACCAACCAAACCAACCAAACGAAACCAAACCAACCAAACCAACCAAACCAACCAAACCAACCAAACCAACCAAACCAACCAAACCAACCAAACCAACCAAACCAACCAAACCAACCAAACCAACCAAACCAACAACCAAACCAACCAAACCAAACCAACCAAACCAACCAACCAAACCATCCAAACCAACCAAACCAACCAAACCAACCCAACCAACCAATCCAACCAATCAAACCAAGCAACTAGGACAAGCTCGTAAGCTGAACTAGCTCCAAGACGCCAGACGCAAGCCATGGGGCCCTTCACGGCAATACCCCAAATACCTTGAACATACGTGTCAAAGTCTTCCCCCAACAAACATCTACTTGTGAACATTTCGAGGGGTGTCCCTTTCCTCACTGCGGTGAAAAACCAACACCCTCGCCAGAACAAGAACCAAAATAATAAAAAGATAATAATACCATTTTGTCTGTGAAGGCGGTGAGAAGGTGAAGGGAAACCAAAGGGAAACCAAAGGGAAACCAAAGGGAAACCAAAGGGAAACCAAAGGCTGCAGTGAGCAAAAGAAGCACCCTCTCTTTTTCCTGCGAAGTTTTTGGTTTCCCTTTGTTCCATGCGGTGAGACGGGCGCGCCCAAAAAAAGGGGCGCGACGAGTCCGAAGAACTGTCCCGAGAAAAGGTGCGGCCGGGCGGCGGGGGCGCCCGACACCTCGAAGCCGGGGCCTCAGCGTCAGGTTTTCCCAGGAAACAAAGCGGGAGACACGGCAAGGGAACGACCAGGGACTTAGACAATGGAACTCAAGGGAACGACTGAAAGGAACGTAAAGGGAATCAACTTAGGATTTGTTTTGCTACTTAAAAGGAAGTGAAAGGAGATAACATAACAATTGAAACCATGTTTTATTCTTTCCATGGGACTTAAATGGAGGCTTATATTGAAGGTAGACATCATTTTCTGAGTTCTGTTTCAGACTTGGGTCACTTTTCGGGCGTGAACCATTTTAGTGGCACTGAAACAGTTTGCACTGTTTTCGGCCACTCCAGTCAGGAAGTGAGTTCTAGAGTTCGATCTGTATGCGGGTTTCACACTGTGTCCGTGTAGGGCATAGGTTTCAAAATAGGAGAAACACCCCCCAAACCCAACTTGTTTGGGTTACTTCAACGGGAGCATGCTCCCGTTAAATTGGGATTTGCTCTTCTCGGGGTGGCAAAAGATGGATTCGAGCGGGGTGACTGAACACGCACGAGCACGAAGCAGGTGTCCAACTCGTTGTGACGCATGCGAAGTCTGGATGTTTGGACGTCTCAGGAAAACATCCATTTCGTTAAGAATATGTTTTTATCTTCCCCTGTAGGTGTTAAAACGAATCTATTACTACTGGAAATATTATTTATTTATTTTTTTCCAGGGGACTTAAGCAAACGGAGGAAAACCAGGATCCTTTCCACAATACCTTGTTGAAGACTAATGTTGACCCCCAATTCATCAACCCCAGTTTTCTGGGTGGGGGCCCATCCAAAAGTGGCCTGAATCCCCACTAAACCCAGGGACACCCCCTATTAATTTACTGGGTGAATTATTCCGGGGTCAACATTAGTATGGCTTAAAGTGCAGGTTTCCTCTTGGATGTATGCCAAGCTTGTCCCAAGAGAGGTGTGAGGAGGGTAAAACAGGGACCCCCTTCCCCCCCACAGCGGGATGAGATCGTGGCGGTCAGGTTTCCCAGGTGTTCGCTTAGAGACGTCCCTTCGACGTACTGGCAGCTGCCTTGAAGGGGAAAACTCGGGAACGAGAAGCATTCTCGCAAATGCTGTCCCAATTGTGTCCAGGGATCCTCCTGTCAGAACAGTGTCCGGAAGATCGCCATCTACATATGCAAAGGCTCATTTACCTGCAGTTTGTTTGTTGTCGGGAAAAAAAACAGGTCAAAAAAGGGCAGCGGACACTTGAGTCTATTTGGCAGGCCCACAGTCTAAAGAAGGTGGTCAGGCAACATGGACCCCACAACGTTTGGTACCAACTTGCATCTGTACTAACATCGTAGAAGCGATGGTAAATCCTTGGTTTTAGGCTCAAGGTCAACCAGAATAGGGCAAAGGGGTTGATTTTCCATTTGCCAATATGGCTGTGGGTCAAAACCGTTTTGGGATCCCATTTTGGGGTAGGTGAATTCACCACCCAGTTTAGGTTACCTATTTTAGTGGTTGGATTCGGATGTTCACTGGGGGCTAACCGCTTTGGATTTTGGCCCATGGCCATATTTCTCCAGTAGGGGAGGCCTCCGGCCCAGGCCTCCAGTGGCATGAGGGGTTTCCCTTTAAAGCTAGGCAATCCCGTGAAGAAACCGGTCGGTGGCTGGTTGCTTGGTTCCCTTACCTTCCCTCCAACAATAGAGAATAGTGGCCTTTGGTGAGCTTTTCGGTCTTCCATGAAAGTTGGAGAAAGGGTAGCATGTAGGTTGTAGCCCTGGTTTGAAGTTGGAACCATTTGTAAAACTGTGAATCTTGTTGGTAGCAACCTCCCTGTCCATGATTGGCTGACAGGGTACCTTTGGTTCGTTTCCCACAACCACCTTTTCCGCTTTCTCAAAAAACAGGTGGCCGGTGGGTTGCTTGCTTGCTTGCTCGCTCGCTCGGTCGGTCGGTTGGTGGGTGGGTGGGTTGGTTGGTTGGTTGGTTGGTTGGTTTTTCGGTTGGTTGCTTGCTTGCTTGCTTGCTTGCTTGCTTGCTTGCTTTGCTTGCTTGCTTGCTTGGTTGGCTGGTTGGTTGGTTGGTTGGTTTGGTTGCTTGCTTGCTAAGTCGGTCAGTCGGTCGGTCGGTCGGTCGGTCCTTCCGTTGGTTCCCTGACTCCTTTTCCGGTTCGACCCCCTCACTCGCGCCCAGCCCGGGTCGCCTCAGGCGCTTGGCGCCTCTCCCGCTGGCGGACTTCCTCGCGCCGCTGCCGTGGCTGGCCTCAGTCTCTAGGGGTTGATTCCCCATTCTTTCTACTCAAACTCTAGTGGCTCGTCTTTTTTTGAATTGCTATCCCATAAAATGGTGTTCAAGGAAACCACCAGGAAAACCATTTGTGTGGAGCACCCCCTTCTGGGATGGTTTGGACCCGCCAAAATGATGGGTTTTCCGTTTGGCTTCCCCTTAAAGCCAACAGGAGGTTCCCTTGAAAAAGATACACCACTCCATAAATGGAGTTCTTGTCCATTCTGTTCAACCATCGGTCTTTTTCCAAACACCGGAGCCGTTTTCCCTGGGATTCCGGAAAGTTTCTAGAAAGAAGGATCCCTGGAAAGAATGGAAATGGAAGGGGAAGTGGTTGGAGGTTTTGGCAGTTCCTGGCCCACGTCATGGTGGATGCGCCCGCAATGGTGGGCTTCCTCTCTTGGCCCTTTAAAACCACCAAAAAGACAGGTACCTTCAACAAAGACAGATTTTGGTGGACATTCCTGATATGACGCATTTTCTAGCTGGTGGTTGGAAGGGAGCTAAGGAGTTGGGGTGTGTCCAAGTTTGCCTTTAAAGCGGGAGCTAAGGAGCTACCGACAGTTTTGTAAGGACATTGTTGTTTTGGTTGTTTTGGGGTGAATCATATGTTTCCCAAAATGGCGGACTCCTTTTTGGTTGCTATTTAGAGGGAAACCAAAAGGAATCCAGCCATTTTACGGGGCCTGCAAATTTGCAAAGCACCCACATGTCAGGTCTTTGTGACCAAATCGCCACAAAGAGGCCGTTGTCACTTCGGAGATGCGTGCAGCTCGTAAGGAGCCTACAAAAGGTCTAGCGCCTTTTTGGTAAGGTAAAAGAACACAGTGGTGCCCAGGTCCACGATTATTCAAGCCCAGTTTATGAATGGGGGGGTGGGGGAAAGGCGCTCCAAAAGTGGTCTGATTCCCCACTAAACACAGGGAGAAGCATCCCCCTATCAATAATCTGGGGTTCAAAAAAATAGGGCGTCAACATTATTTGGGAACACTTTTTTCAATTGGAGAATTCCGCTCGACATTTGAACAGCCTTCTGTATCACGAAGCGACCCATTCCCACAATGGCCTTCATTAGATTGTGGAAGGGCCTTGATTTCGGTGTTTCTTTTTTTAGACGACCCCAAACAAGAATTTTGGTTTTCCTCTTGGTTTCCCTTCAAAGCCATAAAAAAAGGCGACCGACCCAAAGAAAGACATACCCACTTCATAAGGGCCCATTTCCTGTTTACAAATTATCCGGAGCTCGAATGTTTACTCCCCATGGCAAAATAACGGAGGAAGCCGAAAGGAGGTCCTCCAAAAGTAGATTCCTTTCGACACGATGGGCATTTGGGTTCTTTTCTTTCTTTCTTTATTTTTTTTGTTGGGGGGGGGGAGTTTGCAATGGATGTGTCAATGAACTGCTGAATGGCGTCGGGCTGATTCTGTCTTACTTTCAGGGCCTTCACAAAATAGAATGGGGTGAAAAAGTCATCATACTGTGGATGGGCGAAATCCATTTCGCACCGCCTCAGAAACCCTGGAATGGTACGATTCCCCACGAAATACCAACAAACAATGGTTTCAACCATGGGTTCTTAGGTGGTGCGAAATGGATTTCGCAACCATTCTCAGTAGGGGCAACACGTAGGTGTCATTCGAATTCCCCGGCCCTCCGGCGGAAATCCGCCTGCCGTCTATGGCGGACGGCAGGGAGCGCCAGGGAGCGCCAGAAGCAGGAGCTTTCCAAGGACAGGACCTCCATCCAGCAAGAAGTGCAGGACGCTTTCAAGGCATCAGAAAGCATCTCGAGGTGAACTTCGTGCTAGTGCATAGCCCGCCAGGCAGTTATTTGGCCCCTTCCAATTGTGGTCTCTTTCGGCGTTCTTGGTTTGACCCGTTTGAGGGTACCCGTTTTCGCGAGGCCCTCTTGGGAAGATCATGTGCCGTGGGGTTGGCAGGTATGGTCATGGCCCCTTACAATTTAGACAGCCATAATTGGGCCACAATGGTTCCGCCCACAGTTCAGGAGATTTGACCATGCCTCAGATATGTTGTTTTTGTCTTTGCGTTGAGGGCAAACACGCACCCTCTTTTGGGAATCCGTTGTTCTTTCCTTTCTGTGCTTACAACAAGGATTTCAACAAAAGCCAACGAACGCCAACAAAAGCCAAGACAACGATTAAACAACAACAAAAACAATTAAGACAGCACAAGGACCAACACTAGAGGGGAGTGAAAGAGTTTTGGGGATGAAGCGCGCCCCGCATTTCGGAACCCAAAGATGGGTCAGTTCAGGATAATTTCCTCATTCCTTGAGAACCAAGCTTCAAGAACCCAACAAAAGCAACACAGGGGGGGCTGTTTATGAATGGGTACCCAAAATGGAACCCTGGGAAATGAAACCAAAGACTAAAACTAGAAAACCTGCGGTCCCCTGGTGCTTTAATTTTGACCTATACCCATATAAATGGGATTGGGGGGGACCCCAAATCCATCTTCTTCCCCATTTCAGGTGACTCCAAAGCCAACACATCCATTGCAATGTATGCATGATCAAGTTTTGTATGTCCCCCCCCATGTTTTTTGGATTTCGGTAAGGGAAACCCTTAAGTCTTGGGGGTTGGGGGGGAGGGAGGAGAGGGGGGGGGAGCCCAAATAAGCCCTTAGCAAGCCCTTTTTCACCTCCCTCTCCCCCTCCCCTCCCCTCCCAGCCCCCATGACCTAAGGGCAGCCCACTCCGCTGACTTCGCCGCTGACCCGGACACGTCGCCTCGCCTAACGCGCGCGCCGAGAAGCCGAGCGCGCGCTCGCGAGGCTGTGGCCCGTGGCCGTGGCGGCGGGGCGCGCCCACTCCGCGGTGCTGGCCACGGAGCCGCGGGATCCGAAGAAGGCGAAGCTCGGGCGGCCTCTTTTGTTTCCTCGTTTTTTTTTGTTTGTTTGGTGTTTTTTTTTGGTTTTTGTTTGTTTGTTTGTTTGTTTTCTTTTGTTGTGTTTCTCTTTTTTGAATGGCGAGGAGGTGGAGATGGCCACCCTTGAATTATATATGGGGATATTATGTTTGATCGTTTGGATATTTCTGGGTAGAGGTGGGGAGGGGTAGAGCTGGGGATCGCCGCTTGACTTGGTCTAGGTCCCCCAGCTAGGTGCCCTTTTACCGTTTCTTTTTTGGTTGGGAGGGGTCCCCTACTAAAATAGACTACAGCAAAAAGTTGGTACCCTTATGCGAACCCCTCTACTGGAGGATCTAGTGGCGCTTTTTTCACACACTAACCGGGTTAACCCCACAACGGGGGACTCATAAGTGGGTAGTTAGCTTACCAACCTGGCCAAACACCCAAGTGGTCAGAATTAAGCCGACCGGATCTCTTCTTTTTTTCCGGTTTCCCTGATTTGGTGCTGTTGTTAGTCATGGCCGCAAATGGTCAACTGGTTTTTGGTGGGTCCAAACTGGGCAAGTGAACGCATCCAATAAGTCTCCTCTTGTATTAAAATCCATTTGGGATTGCTAAAGGGGCTTTTCGATCCAAGCACAAACCATATCTGTCTAAGGGTTGATTCCCCTCCTTGGCTTTGGGAAACCAGGAAACCAACTGTGAGGTTTCTCGTCTTGAGACAACCCCCTTTGAAAACCTCATGTAGCGCTTGCCCCCCACCAATCAAAACGAAACCCGACTGGGGGTCCGGGAATATTTATTTTTTTTGGCAGGGATCTCCTGGCAGGTTCCATGTTAATTCTTGACTGCTGTTGGGCAACGGATCTTTAGACTAACTTTTCGGTTGAAATCAAGGTGTTTTCCACTAAACCCCAAAAAGTTATACTCGCTTTTTGCAGGGGGGGCGTTGCAGCAACCAAGAATTGGTGGCAGGGTAATTCTAGTGTTGTCCAACTTTCTCCGGGCCTCCAGTCCGTCCCAGAGCGAACCCGAGTTGTTGTCACCCGCCCGTGAGTTCGGTCTCACCTCCCGTGACTGAACTCACCTTTGATCTTCTGGAAAGTGGTTGGGGGGCAAATGGAAAATGGGGGGGGGAGGGGCCCCAGAAATGCAAGAACACTTGCCTGGGTGCAAAAGCGAAGGGGTTAAGAGGTTACTATACCGTTAAACCAACATCATCTCATGATGGAAGAATAGCGTTTGTATTCTGTAGCCCCTTACATGAGCCAGAAACGGGGTGGTAGTCATAAAACACGAAAGGGGTCAAAAGGGGGTTCAACACAATCCTTTGGGGTCAAAAGGCGACCTAGACGATAAAATCAAGGGATCAACAGGGCACAAAATGGGTTCCCTAGATTTCCCCTTCTGGTGTGAAACATCACCTTTTTGGCCCGAGTGGGTTTCCCTTGATAGGGGTGACGTTTTCAGGAACTATGGGGAACTCCGTCAAGGCTGCGGGTGAAAAGCAGGTACCCAAAATGGCTTCCCTGGTAAATGGAACCACGGACTAAAACCAGCGGTCCATGTCCTGGTGGTTGAATTTTGACCCATACCCTCAAAAGCATAGGTGTCCTTTTTGGTTGATTTGGTTGACAAATAGACCCTGGTTTACCTGCATCTATTTTCCCAAAAAGGACATCTATGCTCAAAAGGGGACGTAAGCTTCTGGGCTCAACCCATCCATCGAGCCGGGCGAATCCTTCGAACTTCGCCGCGAGACGGCCTCGTGCTTTCGCCTTGCGGCGAAAGCCGCGGCTCCGGCGAAGGGCGACAGCGCAGGCGGCGGAGCCTGGCGTAACTTTTGTTTTGAGGGGTTTCCAAAACTACAGAAACACAACTACTTGATTCAAAGCAACTTCCCACGCTTTTCGCTTTATGTCTGGGCTTCCAGGTCCAAGCAGGTGTTTTTGACCTGCATGAAATGGGGGAACCCTGAAATGGCCTTGGCTCGTGTGGGAATCGGCTGGCTAATCCAGTTCCTATGCTATGTGGCTGTGGCTCAAAAAGTGGTAACCGGCATGATATTTTGCAATCAATGGATTAAGACTGAACCCTGCGTCACCCAGCTTTTTAATTTTGAGCGGTGGTCAGTAGGGAATGAGGGAAGGACCCTATAAACCATCCCCTATGGTTTCCCTCAAAGGAATCCCCAGGTTCATTCCCTGATTCCCTGCTGAGCACCAGCAAGTCATTTACTGTATAATGTGTACGTGTGAGGTTCAGTCAATATACCCAGTAATTTTCCATCTGGCGTGCACCAACATTTTCCAGACCAGGGGAATCGCATTTTGATCACGTCCACTGTGGTGATCATATTTTGTGACTTTGGCTCACTTTTTTTTTGGAATAAGGAATATTCCTCTTCGGGAAAAACTGAAAGGCGAGCACGGTTCGAAGCGACCCACTTTTTCGGATACACGGATATGCCCACTCACGGCTGCGAAGATCTCTTGTAATGTACAGGGCTGAGGGTCCTCCATCCCCTTGGCCATGGATAGGTGAACCAGGGCCCATTGCAAATTGGGTCCCAAGGCCATACGTTTAACCATTAGACTCAAAAACCAAGCAGATGAGTTTGGGAGTTTCCCTTGGCAGCCAGAGCCCCTCTTCGGATGGTGTAAATAGGCTATCTTCACTGTTACGCCTTGGTTTTGTGGTTCTGCTCATTTAGTCAGGGGCTGCAAAGCACAGCTTTTTGCTACCATACCAACGGTTGGACAGTTATAAGCATAGTTATGCTGACGAAGACCCCCTTACGTCCCTTACCATGATTCGAACATACTCACGTGGCTTGAACACCAAAAGTTGGCATGCGCAACACATGCGCACGTCTTGTATGACGAATCGGACCCCAACATGGATTTCGGTGTTCCTGTTGATTTCCGTTTCAAGCAAGAAACAAACAGGTGGCCTGAAAAGAAGACACCCACGCACAAACAAAGCCCTGGTCTTCATCTCGACGTATGTCGGCACCTGTGACGATTCGCGAGGCCTGCGATTGTCCAAAGGCACGACATCCGTGGTGGATGACTTTTGCTCCAGGCACGGACCCGATCGAGTCACCGGGCAGCGGGTGACGTTCGCATGGGGTCACTCAGGTTAAAATAGGGGACCACCAAAATTTGGATCTCGGCTTTCCGCTTGGCTGCTCTTTAAGCCAACAGAAAAGCGTACCAAGAAACTACACACCTACTTCTTCTTTTGGCAACCTTTTCTAGGTTGCCGTTTGTCAGCAACAGTTTCTCCCGGGTGCGCGCCGATGCAATTCTTAGAGATGGACCGAGCTTCCGCACGCGACGACAAAAACTCACATCCCGGCCCAGCGAGGATCCGGGAGGATCCAGGGCATCCGGTGCGGCTTTTGGGGTTCCCAGGAAGCTGCCTGGATCGCCAGTTGTAGCACTCAAAACCCCCAAAACCGATCGCAACAGTGACTGAAAAAAGCGATCGCAACTTGGCTGTCTAGGTGGGTTCTCAGAAAGTTAGGTTTTCAGAGTTTTAGGGTTTTGGTTCGAGTGTGCATTGAACCCATCAAAAGTTAAACTTTTAGCAGGAGATCTGAGGACAGCCCAGTAAATGGAACTATCATATGACAGATTCCTCCAAGGGAAGAGTAGGGGGTGGTAGTTTGAAACATCACCTTTTGGGCGAGGTGGGTTTCCTCTAGGAAATCCGGTCACTTCCAATCATTTGAAACCAGGGATCAGAAAAGAAAACATTGCAAACCCAAGCAGAGCCGCTTTTTGAAAGGAACAATGCTTGAAAGTAATGTGAACGAGAACCCCCCCCACCCACTCCCCCTCAAAAAACGAGCGTGTGGTCAGGGAGTGTAAGTTGGCTTTGTTCTGTTGTTATCCCCATTCTTTCTAGGGGTCCTTCTTTCCAGAAACCCACCAACCACAGGTAGAAACCAAATGGCAGTGTCTTCATTTGGAGGCCCTGGTTAGCACACATGCCCATGCTCGCCTATCCACAAGATATGTTCTCCTTCAAAACAGGTTGCTTTGGGCTCGACCAAAACACGTTTGCCGTTTGTGTAGGAAATCAGTGAGGGTTTCCCTTGGTGCAGTTGCTAGAGTTCTACCCACTTTGTGGCGATCGGATCAACTGGGAGGAACCTTGGTGGGAGATCCACCGAAAAGTGTGCTGCTGTTTGATTTGTTGGCTCGTGGTGAGAGAAGTTGCGGGAGAAAGACTACACTCAGCAGAGGGACCCTCCCTATTTCTGGGGTCGCTTGGTTGCCCTTGCGTTTGAGCTGTTAACTTGTTGAGGCCATGACAAGTAACCGTGTCGCAGTCATCGGTAAGCACTGGCAAGCATGGAGGGAGGAAACAGCTGAACTTTCTGCGTCTGAGCTTGGATGTTCAACCACGTTCGTAAGTAGGTTGTATCCATGTTTGTAAAGGGACTAGCCCAAAACAACCCCAGACAACCCGGAAAATATATATGACCAAGGTTGCATACTTCTATGACCTGTGTCGCACATAAGAACCACCTCATCCACTTCGCTGTTCTTGGCATGCCCTTCATTTCTTTAAACAAAAGTTTGTGGGCTCTTTACATTTTCAGCGGGCGGCTGCAAAAAGACGAAAGCTGTTTGCTCGTGCAGACGCCCGCGTCAGCGGCGTCAAATGTCCGCTGGCAGGCTGCGCTGCTCGGCCGGAGTGAACGAGAGGCCCAGGCGGTCACAGTCCCAGTCGCGTGGGCCTCGGCCGGAGCGTCTTTGGAGGCTACTGTTCATGGTTTTTCCCTTGGGGTTTTTGATGGTTTCCTAAAACTTACCTCTTAAAACCATCACTTTTCTCAACTTTTTGGGTAACATGGGCTGTATGTCTGTAAAAGATTAACTTCCCCAGGGCTTGGAGTTTTAAGGGGTAAGAAAAAGATTCGGATCCCTGGGTTCAGAATGGAAATGGAAGGTACCCCTAGAATGTTCATTTGCGTTTTCGCCCCCTGGAGAAAAAAAGCTCCAGTCATAGATTCCCTTTAAAGACAACAGGGGAAAACAAAAAGTGAATCACCCACAGAAGGTACCCATACTGTGGATGGTTGCGAAATCCAGAAATCGCGCCCCTTTGAAACCATTGGAAGCACAGGGGAATCATCAATCCAGGGCTTCTTTAATTCTTTAGGTGGTGCAGGATTTCGTCCACCTAAACTTTGGTGCATGTTGCCAAGGGCTGTTAGGACTGAACAACTTTTTGCCAACTGATGGAAGTTTTCCGTATTGAACCACAAAAAGTTATTCACTTTTAGCAGGGGAGCAGAAAACAACCGAGTAAAGAAACCCTGGAGTGATGATTCCCCTGTAAATGCCAATGAACGTCATGGCTTCCAATGGTTTCAAAGGGGTGCGAAATGGATTTCGCAACCATCCACAGTATCATTTGCCTAACAATATATGTTACCCTAGGGTTGCTTGCCCCCATGAACAAAATGGTAAGGACCCAATTTGGACGAGGACCATCCTCAGGCAAACAATGGTTATATGAACCCAACCATGGTTTTCACCTGGCTGCTCAATTACCTTTTCCACTTTTGGTCGGCCGTGCTGGCCCAGTGCGCCGGGGCGACTTTCTTTTCAAGCTATTCCCGCCATGCGAGGCAAGGAACCCTAGGGTAACATATATTGCTAGGCAAATGATACTGTGGATGGTTGCGAAATCCATTTCGCACCACCTAAAGAAACCCTGGAGTGATGATTCCCCTGTAAATGCCAATAAACGTTATGGCTTCCAATGGTTTCAAAGGGGTGCGAAATGGATTTCGCAACCATCCACAGTATCATTTGCCTAACAATATATGTTACCCTAGGGTTGCTTGCCCCCATGAACAAAATGGTAAGGACCCAATTTGGACGAGGACCATCCTCAGGCAAACAATGGTTATATGAACCCAACCATGGTTTTCACCTGGCTGCTCAATTACCTTTTTCCACTTTTGGTCGGCCGTGCTGGCCCAGTGCGCCGGGGCGACTTTCTTTTCAAGCTATTCCCGCCATGCGAGGCAAGGAACCCTAGGGTAACATATATTGCTTGGCAAATGATACTGTGGATGGTTGCGAAATCCATTTCGCACCACCTAAAGAAACCCTGGAGTGATGATTCCCCTGTAAATGCCAATAAACGTTATGGCTTCCAATGGTTTCAAAGGGGTGCGAAATGGATTTCGCAACCATCCACAGTATCATTTGCCCAACAATATATGTTACCCTAGGGTTGCTTGCCCCCATGAACAAAATGGTAAGGACCCAATTTGGACGAGGACCATCCTCAGGCAAACAATGGTTATATGAACCCAACCATGGTTTTCACCTGGCTGCTCAATTACCTTTTCCACTTTTGGTCGGCCGTGCTGGCCCAGTGCGCCGGGGCGACTTTCTTTTCAAGCTATTCCCGCCATGCGAGGCAAGGAACCCTAGGGTGACATATATTGCTAGGCAAATGATACTGTGGATGGTTGCGAAATCCATTTCGCACCACCTAAAGAAACCCTGGAGTGATGATTCCCCTGTAAATGCCAATAATCGTTATGGCTTCCAATGGTTTCAAAGGGGTGCGAAATGGATTTCGCAACCATCCACAGTATCATTTGCCTAACAATATATGTTACCCTAGGGTTGCTTGCCCCCATGAACAAAATGGTAAGGACCCAATTTGGACGAGGACCATCCTCAGGCAAACAATGGTTATATGAACCCAACCATGGTTTTCACCTGGCTGCTCAATTACCTTTTCCACTTTTGGTCGGCCGTGCTGGCCCAGTGCGCCGGGGCGACTTTCTTTTCAAGCTATTCCCGCCATGCGAGGCAAGGAACTCTAGGGTAACATATATTGCTAGGCAAATGATACTGTGGACGGTTGCGAAATCCATTTCGCACCCCCTTGAAACCATTGGAACCCATAACGTTTATGGGCATTTTTTATAGGGGAAGCATCAATCCAGGGTTTCTTTAGGTGGTGCGATTTCTGGATTTCGCAATCCTGCCTCTGCTCCTTGCCGAGGGCTTCCCAGGCTTCATTCAGGCCCTATGTCTCGCGGGTGTCCCTGAGCTCGATTCATGTTTCCCTGAGCAGTCTCATGGTTGTCGGGACATATTGTGGTTTAGCACAAAACCCCCGCTTGACTGCTAACATTTAAGTGTGTGCTCCCCTTCCAACGTCAACCAAGCTCTGACTCTTAGCTTTGTCTGGGCGCTTGCCGAAAGAGTCTTCGTTGTTTTGGCTGGCTTCTTGCTGATGACCCAGCCCGGAAGTATTTCCCCCATCTGATTTTCATGGGAATCTATCATTACTCGGTGGCAAGCCCAGCCATGCGGTTCCTCAGGCTTTTAGGCGCTTTCCACAACTTCAAAAAAACGACTTTCAGCGGGGGATTCGGGAACAGCCCAGTATCACATCGAAGGGCAGTCACTCCCCAACTTAGACCACCTGGACCCACAAACTACCCTAGAAATGGGAAAACCTTCCAGAATGTTGGGTGGCAATAGCCGATCTTTTTTATGGGTACCCTCCCTTCCACTAACATGGCACCTGACAGGGGGGCCCCCCAAGAAGAAATTTATCTTCCAGGTACCCTCCGACAAGGGCCATGTTGGGGGGGAGGGTACCCGATAGAGTTACAGGGTTGGGTTATTGCAAGAAGATTTGGTTAAAAACAGAGAACTCTCCATAAGTTTGGGTTGCAATACCCTATTTTTGTATGGGTACCCGGAGTCTCCATGACCCTTAAAAAATGGTTGCTCATTCCCCAACATAATTTTGGGTCATGGACCCATGTTTATTTCGGGTCCTTAGGGAGACTCCAGGTAGTTCTTCCGGGTCCAGGTAGAAGCTGGGATCTGTTCGGCCACCGAACCAACAGGTGCTGATGTTCATCGGGGGGGGGGGGGGGTTTTCTGGGGGTTCAATCCACGACATCTGAGCGGTTTTCGGGGGGGGGGGGGGGCGGTTTTCTGGGGTCTGAGTGAACTATACCAACCTCTCAATATGAATTCAGCCCAAATTGTGATCCTGGTTGATGTAGGGAATAGCCCCCCAGCCACCTTGTTTTAGGTTGGTGAAATATTACACGCATTTTTTTGCAAATGGACGTGATGAACACACTTTGTGTCTGTCCTACGCCAAAGTAGAATCGATTCCCAGTTGTTCCTGGGCCCCTAATCTCTTGTTCGGTGACGGAACCCCACAAATGGTGAACCAACCAACATGGGTGTGTCTTTTTTTTTCAGCGACCCCCCTTTTGTTTTGTTGTTTCGGTGGAAACTAGCAGGAAAACCACAGTTTTGAGGGAAACAAGGCGCACCCACATGGATTCCAACCTTTTTGGATCCAAATGTCGAATGAGACGGGACCCAGATGGGGCCCGAGTTAATAGCCACAAGCGCGCAGAGATTCGGTCCGGGATTTCTCACATTTCGGTCCCTTGCTTGGAGGTTCATTACCTGGTGGCAAGCCCAGCCATCCTGTTCCTTTGGTTTTTAGTGCTTTAGTTGGTTCCGTAGTAGTTTCCTCTGAACCACTAGGAATTAGACTTTTAGCAGGGAACAGCCCAGATTCTTTCACAACTTCAGGTTTCCTAATTGTAGAAGGTCCCTCAGAAACCAAACGCCACTTTTCAGGTTTCTGCATTAACCCAACGACAAGAGCCTCTGGGAGCTGCTTGCAATTCCCGCCTCAACTCCCGCCATCGCAGCTTCTTGGCATGTTCTTGGCATGGTTTTGTTGTTTTTTTGGTTGCGTTCATGTTTACTGGGGGGCTGCAGAAAAACCCAGTTTATTGCTACCATACCAAGAGTAGAGATGACAGGGTGTCACCCAGGTTTTGCTAAGATCTACACGTTGCTCATGGCCCGAACGCCCTGGGACCTCGTAGCTGGACGCAGTTGGGCAATGGGCCACTCGGGGTCGGGCCGACGATTTTTCCATTTGTTACTGTGGATGGACGAAATCCTGCACCACCCAAGAAACCCTGGATTGGATTCCCCTACAAATGCCAATAAATAATGGTTTCCAATGGTTTCAAAGTGGTGCAGGATTCCGTTCATCCACAGTATTGCCCTTGGAGAGGGGTCCTTGAACCCGTCAAGAGATTTGCATTGACTAGTGGTGGAGGTTCCCAAAACTAGGTCCCCCAGTAGTGCCCTTGTCCCGATTCTTTTTTGGTTGGGAGATTCGGTTCCCCTACTAAAATAGACAGAAAAAAGGTTGGTACCAACTTATTCTACCCTCTCTACTAAAAAAAACCTAGAAAAAGGGAAGCGGAGGACACCATGTTGGTCCGGGGTCCTCGCTGAGGTCCTTGCATCTGCTGGTGCAAATGGGCGAGGAAGTCCGCGACGCCTTCACACGGCCACAGCCTGAAGGGCGAGGGAGCGGCGGTTTTCCGTTTCGGGCGCAAAGAGAAGCAATTGGGTCTGTTCTTTTTTTTTTTGGGGGGGGGACCTAAGGATCAGCACCTTGCCGTCACAGAACCTCAGGCGTCAAGTTGCGGCATTTGGGTCTGTCAGTTTTGTTTGTTGTTGTTGTTTTTTTTGGGGGGGGACCCACAAAATGAGGGTTTTCCTTTTGGTTTCCCTTTAAAAGCCATCAGACAAGGGGTACCACCAAAAAAGGACAGACCCATTTGGCAGACCACACAACCCAAGCAGCTGCCGTTTGATTTGGATGCCCCCAAGTGACTTTTCAGAGCTCCAGTGGGTTCCCCTTTCAACTCCACTCCATGGAAACCACACAACAGTCGGTTGCTCTGGGAGGGTTCCCCTAGTAAAATAGACAAAACCGGAAAAAACAGTTGGTGGCCTTATTCTAGCCTCTGAAATCTGGAGGACCTAGTCTCCATAGAAATGGCCGTGGTTGTCAAAACCAATGCCATTTTGGTTGGTAGGTGAATTCACCACCCGTTTTAGGCTTCCCATTTTAGCGGTTGGATTGAAATTCGGAGGCTAACCGCTTCGGAGTTCGAAAAGCCCATGCCCAAATCACAGCATCCGGTTCCTGGGGCTGTTGGAGATTTCTTTTGGTCCAGCGATTGGTGACTCAGACGTTTACCCGTTCCTTTTTTGGCTGGGGGATTCGGTTCCCCAGCGATTGGTGCCCTTTCTCACCCCTTTTTTTGGTTGGGGAGATTCGGTTCCCCAGCGATTGGTACCCTTTCTCACCCCTTTTTTTGGTTGGGGAGATTCGGTTCCCCAGCGATTGGTACCCTTTCTCACCCCTTTTTTTGGTTGGGGAGATTCGGTTCCCCAGCGATTGGTACCCTTTCTCACCCCTTTTTTTGGTTGGGGAGATTCGGTTCCCCAGCGATTGGTACCCTTTCTCACCCCTTTTTTTGGTTGGGGAGATTCGGTTCCCCAGCGATTGGTACCCTTTCTCACCCCTTTTTTTGGTTGGGGAGATTCGGTTCCCCAGCGATTGGTACCCTTTCTCACCCCTTTTTTTGGTTGGGGAGATTCGGTTCCCCAGCGATTGGTACCCTTTCTCACCCCTTTTTTTGGTTGGGGAGATTCGGTTCCCCAGCGATTGGTACCCTTTCTCACCCCTTTTTTTGGTTGGGGAGATTCGGTTCCCCAGCGATTGGTACCCTTTCTCACCCCTTTTTTTGGTTGGGGAGATTCGGTTCCCCAGCGATTGGTACCCTTTCTCACCCCTTTTTTTGGTTGGGGAGATTCGGTTCCCCAGCGATTGGTTGGGAGATTCGGTTCCCCAGCGATTGGTCCCTTTCTCACCCCTTTTTTTGGTTGGGGAGATTCGGTTCCCCAGCGATTGGTGCCCTTTCTCACCCCTTTTTTTGGTTGGGGAGATTCGGTTCCCGAGCGATTGGTGCCCTTTCTCACCCTTTTTTTTGGTTGGGAGATTCGGTTCCCCAGCGATTGCCCTTTCTCACCCCTTTGTTTGGTTGGGAGATTCGGTTCCCCAGCGATTGGTGCCCTTTCTCACCCCTTTTTTTGGTTGGGAGATTCGGTTCCCCTACTAAAATATAGACAGAAAAAGAGTTGGTACTGACCTATTCCAAGCTCTCAAATCTGGAGGACCTGGATTTGTGGTTGGTTTACTGGTTGGGTTTCTGATTTGAACGAACCCGCAAAGTTTGGCACTTTTCGCAGGGGATCGAAGGGGAACAGTGCAAGACAGAGGCAGACGTTTTCCGATGGAAACCCACTGGAGGTTCCGGCTCGTTCGACCCCTTAGCTCGATGTTTGGGTCTCTAGCCGCTGTTTGCGCGGAAGAAACCGTGTTGTAATTATTGGCGAACGTCTCCCCAGCAAGCAGAAACACTTGAACGAGCGTTTGCAAGGGGTCAAGCCCAAAGACAAGAAGGGAAGAAGGAGCATGAGAAAAGACGGAAGAAACAAAAAAGCAGAAGGACAGACGGAGAGGCACTTGGCCATGCGTCATCGCAAGACCCTTTGTGAAGTTTCTCCGCGTTTTCTGAGATCCCAATTTGAGAGGGTTCCTCACTCGTGGTTGCTTGAATCCGGCTCCCTTTTGCCTTAAACGGAGGGACTCCTCGTATAGACAGCCCTTTTACATACCCAAACCCTTCGGACGGGCGCAACACAGGGTACGTGCTATACCACTTTTCGAACATAAAGAGCATCAAGCCACATTCGAAGGCAGTGGTTGCTGCAGATTTCAGGGGTAATTTGAAGTCCAAGTCGAGCACGGCATCGAGTTCCACGAAGATCTCGGGCGTGAGTCAGTCTGCTTTGCACAGCACTGCAACGCCGTGCGCGGTGCACGCGTCATTCGTGACACCAGCCGGACTGACGGCCGCTGAAAAAGATCCAGGATCACCTGGTCTTTGGATTCGCTGGCCTGAGCCTGGCTGTCCTGAAGCCGCTGCTGCAGCGATCAAGTGGCATGGGAACGCAGCTGCAGCGATCGGACTGCGCTCGTGCGTCCTGAGCACGCTTTCAGCGCGGTGCTGGTCGAGATCTTTCGCAACAGCAGCTGTGGATACCACCTGGGCTTTTTTTGGGACGGGGGGTCCATCAGTTCGGCGAGTTCAAAGTGAGCTGGGGTTCCTCCCCTCTGGCCAACCACTTGGGTGACTTTGATGGTGAAATGGGTACGGGTCGAAAAAAAATCGCCACCATAAAGCCGCGGTCTTAGTCCTTTGTTGCCATTTTTTCCAGATTTCCATTTTGGGTTTTTTGAAGCCACACCCAAATAATGAGGCCAGAGGCCACATATGGGGCCGGCAGAACGCCACCTTCGCGAATCGGAGATTCCGGGTGTTTTGTTGTTTCTTTTTAGGGCGCGGGGTGGCTGTTTAGGTCTAACAGTTTTTGTATTACACCCGGGGAATACACCCACTTGGTATTGACCCCATTTAGGCACATTTCCGGATAAAACCGTGTTAATTTGAGCCATTTCTGGGTCATTTCCCAAGGGTGCAATCCCAGGGTGTAATACAAAAACCCTCAGATTAGGAATACCGATTTCAGGCACCCTTAGAGACCAGCCCAAGAATACCCCCAATGACTGCATGCGGGATTGAGGATCTGGGTCAAGCTCGGGGCCCTCGTTTTGGAAGGGAAACCCGGAACCACCTGGAGCAGAATACCGGAAAACCCCAAAATTTGAGGTACCTCTGAATGCTCTACTCCTAGAAGTCAATTAACATAAACCCCAAAGACCCTGTGTCCAGGAATCTCCTTTTGGGAAAAGGGTGTTTTTTTTGGGACGCTTTTTGGTTGGCTTTGAAGGGTTTCCCAACAGGAAAACCACACATCTTGGGGGTCCGAAATTTGAAAAAAGACGCACCAAATGGACCCTCCTTCTTCGCGAGGCTGAACTTCCATTTGCTGAAATGAACATTTGCCGTTGTCCCCTGTTGGTTTTGAAGGTCATGTTGCTTGGATGTTAGGACTTTAGCTTTTGGCCAACCAATGGGTTTTCCATTAAACCACAAAAAGTTAACTTTTAGCAGGGGAGCAGCAAGCAACCGAGTATATTCTTCTATTTTCTATGGGTCAATTCTCGGCAAATGGAAGTTTGAGAGTCCCCTTGAGTTGGTCAGGGCTCCTTAAACAAATCCATTTTGCAACTATTTGAAACATGTCGCTTTTTCAACACCAAAAAGGGAACCACCATTTGCAAGTTGCAATGTTCAGGTGTATAATGTAAGGATCCCTGTTGGTGATTTATGGAAGTTTGAGTGTCCCCTTTACATGCTGGTTCTTGGGAAACAGTATACATTTTTGCTGATTGTGGTTTAGTGGGTGACATCCAACCACTTAACTGCACCAAAAATGAGATTTGTTGCTCCCCGTCCATCGTCAACCAAGTTTAGTTGGTGAGTTGGATTGGTGGCTTGGGGGGTTGAAGGTCAGTTACTCTACTGAGACGCCAAGCCGAGCGGGGAGCCAATTCTTAAAGCACCAACGTTGGTTCGGGAAACCAAGAGGACACCCAAAAACACGGGAGGGGGGGGGGGGGGCTGTGTTTGCACGAGGAACCATGAAGACTAGTTGGAAACTGGGGTTAGTTCTTCAGCAAATGGCGGTGAAGTCTACAAAAAGTTGGCCCGGAACAATCGCTCAGTTGTTCAGTGGCACCCTTTTTCCTTTTTTTTGGTGGCCCCCCTAAAAATGGTCCAAGCCCCAAAAAGGATTCCCCTTTTTTCCAGGGTCACTGAACAACGGAACGATCTGAGAGGCCTTCTGCCGCTGAATCTTCAGGCCGAAATCCGTGGGGGGCTGCTTCAAAAGCCTCTTGACATTAAGCACCTAGCAACACCTCGTGAGCACGATACATGAATAACAGCATGACACATGGTTGACCTGGGTTCGGAACAGGTTGGCATGGGATTCGGGTTGATTCGGGGTTGGGGTGGATGAAGGCTGTGGGGTGACTCACTTCCCCGAGTTTATGGACTTGCGTCACTTGTTGGGCGAGCGGGGAGCATTTAGTGACAGAAAGCTCGGAAGTTTTTTTTGGCTATCCAGGAAGGAGGATAGGGGCTCTTGGGTTCCCTACATCCACAACAAAAGGGTGCCCCCCTGTTTCACATCGCCGGAACTTTGGGACAAAGAGGTGCGTTGCTTTTCCCTTTCACAGACTTCCATTTGGTGAAACATATTGTTTTTGTTTTTCTTTTTCCCCCCCCCCTGTCGGTTTTAAAGGGATTCAATCACCACTGGAAATATGTTTTTTATTTACTTTTTCCATTGGACTTAAGCAATGGAGGCACAAGTTGCAATTCTCACGAGCCTAAAGGGATTTGTCACAACTCCCTAGTGGCCGCATAGGGGTTTCTGGGGAATGGCAACCCGACCCCAGCCCTTTGTTGCGGACAAGCTTTGCCATGGTACAGGGGTATCTGATACATCTAGCGGCCCAAAGGCTTGGGTTCGGTGCCCATGTTTCCACTTCATTTGTCGGGACTCCCTAGAGTTGCCTTTTCTGGTGGTTCTGAACATCGCCAAATTTCGGCCACGTTGAAGCGATCGAGATTCCTTTTGGTGGAGTGAACGTGGAGGGCGAAGAATGGGGAGCCCTGTGACTTGTACCTAGGTGTTTGCAGGCGTTTCAGGGAAACCCAGTGGCTTGGAGCGGGAGCCCATATTTCCAAGAGGGGCTGCTCACATGCCGCCTGGCAAAAAGGGTTTTTGACTTTGTTGCGCTAAAGGAAAATCTATTGAAGGGAGGGTCCCCTATTTTAAGACCCGCCTGCATGTTCTTCGACCCCGAAATGTGCGATGAGAAGTGTCCTTTCGAACTTTGTTTGAGGGGCTTTGGTTTCCAAAACCTGCCCAAATCGACTCGATCAGACCTTTGGGTTTTCAAAGTTGGGTCCATTTCAGGCTTGTTGTTGGAAACATGTTACATTTTTTCTTAGTGTGGTTTAGAAGTTGAAATCCCCAAACTGCTAAAACTTCTTTTTTTGCTCCCCTTCCAACGTCAACCAAGATTTCTGCGTTTTTTGCGCGGCCGAACTGGGCTGAGTACCAAGGCGACAAGCCCAGAGCCGAGTTTCCGAGTTGCCGGAAAACCCGTTTCCCTTCGGGGAAAATGCCATCCGTTCGCTTCGGGAAAGTCGGGGGCTTCGGCTTAGGTGGGAAACGGTTCAGTGGTTTACTTATAGTCAGGCCGTCGACGAGTAAAATCCCGGCTTTTGTTTGGCATCCCTAAGGAGCCTTTGGGAACTTACCCCCTAGGGATTCCGCAACAGAGGTGGGTGAAGGGTTCGGGAAGTTTGGTCGACCGATTTGGGGCCATCTCAGTCGCTTGACCCGGCTCAAGGGCGCGCTTTGCGCCTGATGGACTTAAGTCACTTTTGCGGAAGTCCCATCTATAGTGGCAAAGAAACAGTTTGGACTTTTTGTTTGGCCAGTCCACTGAGGAAGTGAGTAGTTAATGGCTTGAAACAGCCGGTTCGATTCCAGTTGTGGTGGGATGGTTGAATTGATCTTGCCACTTGAATCACACCTGAGTGGATCGGTTCGGCTGGGTTTGATGTTCATGTTGCACACTTCCAGGAAGTAAGGGATCCACAAGGGAAGCTCAGCTTGCCCATGAAGGCGCGGTTCATTTCCTATGGGGGGCCATTATACTTCCGTTTTGGAAGAATTGAAGATCGCGCTCCATCAAAACAGCGTGGTTCCTCAAACGCTTGGAAGCAAATTGGCTTTGAAGTGAAACCAAGAGCACCAGGTGCACTTTGAAGGGTCCAACTTTTGAAGCGACAAGTTGCGGTGTGGCAAACTTAGTTAAGAAGACCTCAGCCGGACTTCCCTTCCTGGCGGGCTCAAAAGAGTACTTGGTACTTTGCGGGTTCTTCTGCAGAGCAGAGGTCAGCTTTGCAGGTTTTGCGTATGTTTCATTTCAGATTTGTTGTCTTCCATTTGGTTAATAATATTTTAATTTTCCCAGTTGGTTTTACAGGGAATCTGTCTCTACTGGAAATATGTTTATTTTTCCCAGGGGACTTCAGCAAACGGAGGTAGTCGAATATATGCGGCTGCGTTCAGCCTTCGAAGGCAATGCTCGCCCTCGGCCGCGCCCCCCGCTTGCCATGCCCTGGCTTGACGTCGGCACGCAGCGGCAGTCGTCAGTCGTGCGCGACAGGCGAGACCCGAGTGCTGAGAGGGGCGCCGATGGGTTGCTCACTTTCTGAGTTCATGGATTTTTTTTTACTTTTTGGGTTTGGACCATTTTGGTGATGAACAGCAAGTGTGGACTCCGTTAGGCCCTTCTACTCAGGAAGTGAGCTTGCCTGTTTGCCTTGAGCTCTGGAAAGAAGTTGATCCCTGGAAAAACTGGGGAAGTGACCCCAGCATGATGTTACATTTGGCTGCACAACCAAGAGAAGTGAAGCGGGCACTACATTTCATTGACCTCTGTGGAAGGATGCGTCATGATGCATTTTGCATTTTGCAGCAGAAGCAATCGAAGTTGAGCTACCTCTGATGTCTCTGATGGCCAGTACTGTACATTTCAAGCAAGCCAAACTCCATGCTCCCCTATGAAGGGGTCGACAGAATTCTTTCGCCGAACCGTTTCCCCGACAAAGCATCCGACGAGACTTCCGGATGTACCCACTGTGAACCAAACAGTAGTTGACCACCTTTGCTGCATGCTTCGAACACGAAAGATCAGGTATGTGCCAAACAGGGGAAACAGGGCCTTCAACCAACCTGAAAAGAATTCCGAGCCTCACAAAGAAGTACACTGGCATGATGGTGGGTTGGTATCTAGAAATCTGGGATCATAGACCCAAATAGGGATTTTGACCCCCCCCCCCACATGGATCTAGATAAATTATAACGACCTCACACGACCTCACCCCAGATGGTGGTTTATGTGGGGAATCGCCCCCGACCACCTGTTTTCAGGCTGGTGAAATATTATAAGTCACCCACATGGATTGGTTTTTCCTCTCAACCAACCAGACCCTCCACCCCGCCCATGTTTTGTTTCCTTGGGCAGACTCCTTCTGGGGGTTCGCTTCTGGCGGTTCGTACCGTTCCATGAATCGGGATCCGAAGAAGTGTGGGACCCAGAAACACTTGCTGGTGCTGAGGATATTTTTTCCGCTTCATTTGCGGGTGCCACATAGCCCGTGTTTAATGTACCCAAACGGGGAAACCACAACTTGCTGGTGCGATAGGTAGGGAATGAATGTTTCGGGAATGAACCTAGTGTCTCCCTCAAAGGAAATCATAGGGGATTGTTTAGGGGTCATTCCCTCATGAAAACCAGCCACTTTACCAAAAAAGGACGGCCATACGGCAACGATGTCATGACGCCCTTGAAATAACATGCTCGCAGGGTGTTTGTTCGCAAATCGGGGACCCTCAGCATCGGCGGTGTCCCTTGCTCTGCCCTTATCACCCCGAAAAAAACAAATCAACGAGGGCAGCCTCCAACGGGGTTCTCTTTTTCCACCGTGTGCCAAATCCATTTGTCGGAATCAGATCGCGAAGGAGACGGCCGTGACGCTGCGCGGCGGCTGCATGACGGGCGAGTGCTGGGATACTTTGGGTACCGAAGGCTGCTCCTTATCTGCACTCGCAGCCATCCCCACAGCGCACATTCAAAAGCGTGGCTCACCGATTTTTCCGGGGGAAAACGAGCGAAAGCCCACGAAGATCCATTTAGGTTATTGCAACCATGCTTTGAATTCGTCCCTTCAAGGCCTGCAGCTTGAGGGGACCAAAACCTCAAGATTGCTTGCAGCTTTCCCTTTCAGCCAAAGGGTGATTTCAAGGATGTCACTTGACTTGGCGGTTCGGAACCACCCGTCCGGTTCCTTAGGCTTCTTTTTTCTGCCAGATCTCCGGTGGGTTGCACCCCTGTTTCATTTTGCAGGGGGTTCCCTACTTAGGCGTTCGGCCAAGTTGGTAAGTGGTTAGCCACCTGGGTTATAACCCACAAATGACTGGGTTAACCCCACTATAAGTGGGTTATAACCCAGGTGGCAAACCACTCACTAACTTGGCCGAACACCCAAGTACAAAATCCGCTTCCCGCGAATGTCTGGTTTGGAGCCGAAGCGGTGGGTTGGTGTTTTTGTTTGGGGTTTGAATATTTAATGCACAAGAACCATGGGTGCACATCCCCAAATCAATCCAAACAATCACTCAAGGGTTGCCTGATTGGGCGGGGGAAGTGAAGTCGAGGCGCGAACCAAACAAAAGGTGCCTTTGTCCAATGGCAATTAAGGTATTCACCAGGGTCAAGAAACCTTAAGTCACCATGTCGCTTTAGAAGTGGTTTGGGTGTAGCCGAAAACAATCGACCGTTTGGTTTTTTTTTACTTGTTGTTTTTGTTTTGCTCAAGGTGCATCTTGGCAATTAGAGGGGCTGAATGTCTACTACTAGTTTCAATATGATTTCCAAGTTCCCCACACCCCCATTCTACTTTGAGTCAAGGCGCGCCTCCCAGTCTGGTTGAGTCACGGCCAGCGACTCTTGGTCAAGGCAACTCAACAAGGTTTAGGCCAATGATGGCGCTGTCAGTAATGTTGAGCCAGGATTAATAAACCCGTCCCAGTATCAGGGGGGCGTTCCCTCCAAAAGTGGTCTGAATCCCCTCTAAAAGGAATTGGACGCCTCCCGATCAAAATCAACCAGGGGTTCTGCTTAATCCGGGGTTAACATTAGCGGGGTTGGCGACATCGCACAGGAAGGTTCCTTCACTTGGTGGCAAGCCCAGCGATCCGGTTCCTTCGCCTTC